ATCTTGTGTAGTGGTAAGGATGTAATACAACAGTTGGTGCTCATATCACTGTTGTTCAGTGAAGTATGAAGTTTTATCAATTTAAATTTTCACAGGGGAAATTGTGAGGGGTTAGGTAGTAATTATTTCTGAGAAAAGATGTTGAGATTCAAAAAGTTAAATCTTCATAGCTGTTGAAACAAATTGTCAACATCACATGTCAAAACATACAAAGTAAATATCCTTAAATCTAGTACTAATCGTTTCTCAAGAAGGATTTTTCTTACTTTCATAGCTGTAAATTTCCACTATTCTCGATGGAAATATTTTGTGTGCATATACAGAGAAATTGACGCTTATCAACATTGATAAAAATCTAATCCTTCCAAACCTACATACACAGCATGATTGGGATTGCTTGGTAAACTGGGAGCAAACAATATTTGTTTTGATACAGCAAAATCTGAGGTTATGTATATAGAAACAATCTAGGGTATACTTACAAGATAGAAGACTGTATCCTAGAAAATAATGCTTCTGAAAATAACTTGGTTATTATAGTAGACAACCAAATGAACATAATCTTCCATTGTGATGCTGTGGGTGAAAGGCTACAGTAATCCTTGGATGTACAAACAGGGGGATATTGAATAGGAGTAGGGAGGTGGAATTTCCTCTGCATATGGCATTGCTGAGACTATTACTGGAATTCAGTTCTGGTGTCTGTACTTGAAAAAAGGTTGTTGAAGTGTTCAAAGTAGAGCTGCAAGAATAATTCGAGGTCTAGAAAATAGTACTTAAAATGAGAGACTCAAGGAGTTCAATCTATTTAGTTTATCAAAGAGAAGATTGAAATGACTTGATTACATTTATTATTACCAACACAAGGAAAAGATATCTTATAGTAGCAAACTCTTTAACCAAGAAAGGTATAACAAGATCCAGTTACTGGAAGTTGCAGCTAGACAAATACAAACTGGAAATGAAGTGCAAAATTTTAACAATAAAGGTAATTAGCCAACCAAGTAATGTGATAGATTTCCCATCACTTGGAATCTGTAACTCAAGACTATATGTCTTTCTAAAATATATAACCACATAAAATATACAACCACATAAAATATACAACCACAATTTATGATTTGATGCAAGAATTACTAGGTTTACACAGTGAGTCAGATTAGATTATCATAATTGCCCTTCTGTCTTAGAAACTGATGGAGCAAGTCCTGGTCCCCTTGAAGTCAATGGATAAACTGCTAATAACGTCAACATGACCAGAATCTGGGCCTGTGAATCTGTTTCTGAAACGAAAAATGTCCCAGTTCATGACAACTGTATGTAGCATATATTGCTTTAGCTGATCATAATTAATTTGTTCAGCAGTCTTGTGGATAATGTATGTTTAATTTCCATTTAAGTTTGCTTAACCATTAATCAGTGGATACTTAAAACCATAACATAGCACTGATTCTAATAACATCTTAAAGTACCAATAAACTGCTGTAAATTGGACAAGCGTTAGCTGTGTGACACTTCAACTCCATAATTCGGGATATCATGAGAAAGTAAGTTTTTCATGGTTTTCAATTAAAAGCAACATTTCCACTCTAAGTCAATGTGATTTTGATGCTAAATTATTATTAAATATTTATCATAGTTACAGCTTGCAAATTTGTCAAATAGAGTCTTGGAAATTCAGAGTACATCCACCAAATGGATAATTCACAGATTCAGTAGGAAGCTTTTGCTGGGAAAATGGGCTTGAAAAGCAGCAATGGGACAACCACCTGTTACCTTTGTTTTAAAAGCTATTTTTAAGTGAGCTGTTTCCTAATGTTCCTCAGCAGAGTAATAAAGTTCCTCCTGGCCTTCATAATTTAAAATACTTCTTGGATCATTGCCTTTCTGTGAATTCACTGATTTCTATAAAATATGTTTTTGGAATACTAAATTGTACTTTGAAAAACATAACTTCTGCCTCTATGCACAAACGGAATGGCTCACTGTGTTGTACCTGGAAAATCATTTGTTTATCAAGAAGCTAAATATGATTTTTAAGCAAAGAGTATACAGTAATAGGTGGGTTTCTCCAGATGTTTTTTCAGTGTCCAGACTGAACAAGCTACAAGCATGTCAAGTTTTGCATTTTATTTCCTCTTTTCCCTTTACTTATCATATATGCTATGTATGTTGGAAAATACATCTACTAAGGTCAGAACCAGGCTCAAAATATAGCTGATCCTCAGTTGGGCTGATTTTGTGACATGTTTCTAACATCAAAATATCTAGAACGAAGCATGGTATGTCATATATCACTTCTCATGCAACTTGGTATTGTGGAAGTTATCCCAGAATATTTGTTATGTATTTAAAAACTTTGAATAACGAAAAGGTTTTAGGGTCTGATCTTGAGTGATGCTGTGCACCCACAATTTGAACTGAAATTAATGGCCAGGCACAAATGCTGCATGAGAGGCAATTTGTGACTTGGTACAAAGCCCATTAAATGAATGAAAATATTTCCATTTGACTTGCGTATACTTTGGATCAGGCACATAATGAATATTGTGTTGAGTACCTTCATACTGGAAGAGTGCTGAAACATTGAGGTGACTTCAGAGAAGATAAAGAATGATGGATCTAGAGGTACTGAGTTATGAGAAGGTTAAAAGAGCTAAATAGGTATTGCATAGCTATGTGACATCTAAGTGGAGCACACTATAATGATCTACAAGTATTTGATGGGAATAAACAGCTAGAAGGGACTTGAATTAATTACTGTGGTACAAAGTGGGAATAATTAGGAGTGAGGGGATGAAAATAAAACAAAGAATATTTACGCTGAATGTCAAGAAAATCTTCTGAACAGTAAAACTACGTAGAATGTGTAGTAGTCTTCTGAGGGACGTTAAATGAAGATTTAAAATCTAGAAACTTTAAAATTACTGTAGATTTTGTACAAAGCAGTAGAATATATGTTGTAGGAATCATTTCTACACTGGCAGAGAGATAAAGTAGATGACCTAAAGTAACAGATCTTTTCTTTTCCTGATTTTAGTATAAACTAAAGGTTTCTATTGACTTCAGTGAGAGTTGGATCATGACCTGAAACAATGATACAGTTGTGAAGCAAAGTTGGTGTGATTCAAAGCTGTACTTATAAATAAAATGTTAAAATAATAGAGAGAAGAGTGTAGCATAAAATAAAGGAGAAAGATAGAATGGTGGGAGCTGGATGTATCTGATCAGTAAGAGAGAAGAAATGCGAGTTGGTTGAGAGACTGGGCAGAAGGCGACAGAGGATGTTCCACTATTATAGTAGAAATATTAACATAACACAGTTTAGCATATTTTGCAGTTAAATAGACCTGAACCAAATCACCAGGTCCAAATGTGCTTGAACTCAGAGGAAGTTTGATTCTGGTCCATATCCAAACCTGGCTGCTCAGGCTCCTCTCTAGTTACAGCATTTTATTTTGTATGCAGAATTCTCTTTTACTTTTCCAAGCAGTGGTATCCACCCAAAAACTGTAAAATGTCTTAAAGTTTATAGCAACTGGCTCATGTTAGCTATCAGAATGAGAAATGACCACTAAGGAAATTGTTTAATAGAATATGTTAGAACACCAGACTTAGAGATTTCTTACTAGTGATTGATTGCTGTTACACCCATATTGCTAATCCCTAGTAAATGAAAAGGTATGAACTCTCGCCTTTTCAATTCTCTTCCTTTCATAACCTCAAAAAGACACACATCAGACAGTACATTTCTGTGGAATTATTGTGTTGGTTGAAGTCAGAAGGTGAGGAATGCAATAATCCTGCAGAAAGTCATTATCTGGCATGCCTAATTGCCTAATTAGACATTAAAAAATACAGTGTATTTAAGTGAATAGAGATCACTGCTTAAGTCTTCCAAAGAAATCATAGCTCTGCCATCTTTAGTTAATCTTTAATTAAATAGTGATAAACCATGGTGAAGACTTTAATAACTCTGCTTTAGAACTCTGCAAAATATTTTAAACTGTAGAGACTAGATTAATTATGGAGTTTTCACCAGTTTTGGTGTGAAATTTCTAGCATCTTGCTTTAAATTTTAATTGTATAAAATACAGCAGTTTTCTTGTTTGAAATAATTTTCAATCTGCAAATAGCCATTCTTACCTGCCAGAAATTTTTGTGAGGGCCAGGCCAAAGCAAAATAATACTTTAAAAATCCTTCTCTGAGATGCTTCATGTTTTCTTTGTGGAAAACTTCACCTATGTTATTTTTCATAAGTAATTTCACAAATAACTTTTCTTGTGCTCCCTCTAAAATGTGTTTCTTGAGTGGCTTCACTTTCCATCAGTTTTGAATTCAGATGGACTATTCATTTGTGTAAAATTACCCATGTATATAAGTATTGGGAGATTGAGGCCTAGGTTTTTAGGACAGTGCATTAAAATTCCTAGCTGTTACAAGTTCTGGAGCCTCAGTAGATATTACTGAGAAGAGTTACTCTCCAACTCTGTCCTGGACAAAGTGACTAGAATGATGATGTGAGACTATTTACTAATTTGTTATGAATCATAACTTACTAAATGTTAAAGGTTGGACCCAGGGGAGTGGCAGAGTGCTGCCATGATGTAACATGTGGATTTGCCATGAAGTTTTCTTTTTCATTTTCTTCAGGCCTGAGTCTACAAGGGTCAGGTCCCTGGTAGTTTTTTCATTGGAACAGAGAGGTGCAAAGACATAATGTCCTTATTTTCTGTCTTGATATTTAAATAACCCTCCCTGTTTTGTACTCACTAAATGTTGGAAAATGAAAATGTTGACTTTGACCTGCATTTCAGTTAAGACTCTTTAAGCAAATAAAATTTTAATCAGATCAAACTGTATTAAAGTCAATGTTTCACAAGTAGACAAAATTAAACAAAATTAAGAAAGATAATCATGTATCTGTTAATTTCACTTTTAAAACGTTTTAAAATTCAATATTTGTTCTCTAAATTTTTTTCTTACTCTTTTTGAACAGGTTATTTGGTGTCACTTCAGTAATTAAAACCAACTGCTCAAGCACCTGGAAGATCATAGCAAACCAAGACCTCGTCTGGTATCACCATGCCAATCCCATATTACTGCTGGTGATGTACTACACCCTGGCAACTCTTATTCGCCTTTGGCTACAAGAGCCCATTGTAAGGCTCTTCCCACTTTATTTTTTCTTTCCACTTTATGAAGAGAATAAAGCCGCCAGAGTAGAATTTTTCTAATGCTCACTAGTGATTGTAAGATTCTCAGATTGTTACTGGCATTTGCAAACAGTAGAACAAAATTTTTATGTGAGGCAAGCTGCTGTCTTAAATACACTCTTTCTGATAAGTCCCTCCAGCTCTTACATGGGTAGTCCTCCTAAAGTCAATGGGACTACTTATGTGATTAAGGGCTACAGGATCAAAGACTTGGGTCATATCTACACTACCTGCTAAATCGGCACAGCTGTGATCAATGCAGTGGTGTTGGTTTATTGGGTCTGGTAAAGACACACTAAATTGATGGGAGAGTGCTCTCATATCAATTTGCATACTCCACCTCCCTGGAGCCAGAAGTTATGTCGATGGGAAATCGTCTCATGTCACAGTGTAGACACCGATGTAAGTCGACCTAAGTTATGTCGACTTCAGTTACATAATTTGTGTAACTGAATTAGCATAGCTTAGATCGTCTCACAGCATTAATGTAGATCAGTCCTTAGCTTACTTTTGAATTGTGAAAGTCTGTGTGAATATTGTCTACAGTAGGTAGGGTTGTTGGGTTTTTTTTCACAATGCAAAGCACCATAAAGTCACAGCAAAATGAGCAGTAAGTGCAGCACACAGGAGTTACTCTGTGTTTCATGGTCTTTACACAGCCTTGAAAATTTCCTCATACCAAAGGCAATAAAGAATGAAAATTTAAAAGCAGCCTCAAGGGTTCGTTGCCCAAAAACCAAAATATCAGCTGCAAGCTGGTGCAGGATACTGTAAGACATACATAGTTTTGCCTAATCTTGCAATTTTATCATGAGTCTAGCAACATTTGGTGTTTTTCTTAAAGCCCCAAGTCCAGGATTCATGTGATTATGTGAACATCTCAGCTTCCATTTTTTTAAAAAGTAAAGTTCATGGTAAGATAAATGCTGTCTTTGTACTATGACTTCTTTTTTGATGAAGAAGATACACCATTACAACATCTGTCTATAAAATGATATGTTCTGGTTTCTAAATCTTAGCGGCTTTATAGACTGTTTTGCTATGGATGGTTTTCACCTTTGATTGTGCCATGGATCAGGGATTGGTTTTTCTTTTTACTTGTTTTGTCTTAGAAAATTTTAGACCAAATTCTATTCTCAGTTACACCAGTCTAAATCCACTGTAATTCCATTGCAGTCAATAGAGTTCCTTTGCATTTATGCTACTTTAATGGAGATCTGAATTTGGTCCTTGTCTTTTATTGTAGCTGCCTATGTCTTCTGTTTTTACAATCTGAAACAATGTCAAAGCAGCATAGTAGTGAGAATCTCATCTTTAACTTATGGTACCTCCTCTACATTATTAACCAAGTTCAGAAGGCAAAGATGATAAATTTGCTGAATGGGTCAATCTGAGAGCAGATGCTATATCTCTGTTCTGATTAATGCAGCTTCAGAAAAATGCTCAAGGAATTATGCCCACATTTGGGTCCTGAGTTTTCAGGGTGAGAAAAAGTACTCAAAAAGGAGCATAAGTGGGATTTTAAATGGTGCATGATTGTGCTACTTCTGCGCAGAGATGAATTTAACCCTCAGTCCTTACTCAAAAAAATTCCCATTAAAGTTGTTTGGAAGTTTTCTTGAGTAAGGACCTCATGTTTGGGCCCTTGAGTCCTGCAATAATTTAATAAAAGAAGAAGAGCCAATTTATCTCTTCTGACTTCAGTGAAGTTATATCAGGAATCAGTTTATTCACTGGATAATATTTAAAATATAAATCTAGGGCCTGACTCTTCACTCGCTCACTTTGATGTTAATCAGGAAAAACTTCACTATGAAGCTCATGTGAGAAGAGAACCAGGCCTCTACAATGCTGTTTGAGTTAATCTAGTGTGGATGATGGGGGTTGGGAGAACATTGTTAGTGCTACTCTTAAACTCTCCTGGAGCTGTGCACTCAACCATCGTAGTTGCTTGTATGGTGGGAGAACTGGAAGTGTTGGACAAGTCAAAGGCAGCCTAGAATTATGAGATTGCTAGATATGAGACTAGCAATATGAGACTGCTAGATAATGCTCTTCTTGACCTCTTTTTCCTCATCCTTGAAATAGATTAAACAAGACACCATTTCCCACCCACACCCATCGCCACCTGAAGTTCATATAACTTAAAATCATTATCTCAATACCTCAGTACACTTAGTGTTTGTGTGGTCAAATCAATGCCAAACAAAATGTTGCTGGTAAATGTTTCATTGTGGGCCACTTTTATATGAAAACTTTCAATATATGAAAGTGGCATAGCAAATGTAAGCCTCATAATTAGTTTATTTTACATTTGTTAAAATTTGGTTTGGAATATCCTCTACATTCTAAATATAAATATACATACATGTGTGAAATGTGCTGCTATGCTTTTGAGAAGTAAAAATAAATTAATAACTACTGCTTATTTAGGCTGAGCTTTTTAAAAAGAGGAGCTTAATATGAAGCTTGCAGAGTGGGTTTTTCAAATCCACCTAGATTATTTGGGCTCCTTACTCCCATGGGCAGATTTGTAATCTCAGCTCTATTTCATGGGTTAGACTTCAGAATAAGTGGGCTGATATAGAAGGGCTGAGAACCTCACAACCCCTATTAAAGCCCCACTTTAGAATCTTGGTTTTGAAAATCTTGGCCTGAGAAAGACGACAAAAGTAAAATTTTGTGCTATGCTGTTTCAATGGAGTCAGCAGATGGAGCTCAAATAAACTGACAAACGTTGTTCCCAGAGCCGAGTGGATATTGGTTATGATACTGTCCTCTTTTTTTAAAAAAAAAAGAAAGGGAGTAAATCAAAAGCCAATTTAATTTAGGCTTCATTTGAAACAAAGAAATAAAATATATCTATTAAATAGAAAGAATAAAATGGGAAGAAAAAAATTATAGAATCTTAGAATATCGAGGTTGGAAGGGACTTCAGGAGGTAATCTAGTCCAACCCCCTGCTCAAAGCAGGATCAGTCCCCAACTAAATCATCATTTTTCATCCTGTTGAGCCAGACCATTGAAAGTGAAAAAAATATGAAAATTACTTGACTAGATCAAAATCTGTTCTAATTTACATCAGTATAAATCCTGAGCAACACCACAGAAGTCAATGGATACTCTGGATTTTGGTTGCAATTTAGTAAAGCACTTAAACATACGTTTAAGTTCCATTGAGGCCAGTGGGACCTTAGCGTGTGTTTGAAGTTAAGCATGTGCTTAAATGCTTTGTTAAATAGGGATTGGTTTTCTGAATTGGGGCCTTACAGCAGTATAAATGACAGCAGAATTTGGCTTAATACTTAGTGTAATCAACTCTCTAAACTGCCTGCTATTTAGCCAGGGCTGATAGAAATTACATAGAGATGAAGTATGATTTAGGGTAACTATAATGTTAGTGCATCAGCAATGCAGAATCAGACTGTAATGCTTCCTGTTTGTCAGACTCAAATGCTTATTAATAGAGTGCTTTTCCTGACAGGATAACCCACTTTACAGCATGTACACTCTCTCCTAAAAATCCTTAATTTTGCTATTCATGGTGAGATTAAAACCTAACCACTAAGAGGTAGGGGATTGGAAGAAACTTCCCATTGGGCATGTGATTCCATAGTTGTCCAAGGTGTGTTTTTTAGATGTTCTGAATCAGTTCACTGTTCTGATGCATTTACTGTGCTACCATATATCAGGAACAGGATTTGTGTGTTATTCTGTAGTCTTTGAATATGCATTGCTTATGCCCGGAAAATATTTTTTTCTTTTAATTTATTGCTCAGTATAGCAAGTCAATGCTGTTCCCACATTCAAATATACAAGCAGCAGAGAGCTTTAATTTCAGTAAATCTAGCTTTAAAATGATTACATATCTGTATTATACTTTATGGTTTGGTTTATACTATAAAGCAGGATGTGGAAGTCTGGTTACTTATGGTATCCTGTAGGAATCAGGAAACATCTTGATATTGATGGGTTTAGTAATTATAGAATAGCTCTGTCATCATTTTCTGAAAATGTCATACTAATAAAAAGCATTCATCATAGATACAGTACATTAAACACTAGACAATATTTCAAGGCATATAATTTAGAGGAAGAACAGCATCTAGGTACCATAGTGTTACTCTTAGAAAATCACGGTTTAAGAATTACAACTATCCTTGCCATTCCCATTGTTTAGGAAATGGATGATGAAGAGAAATCTGGTATCAGCGAAGAAGACAAAGAAACAGACTGCAACCCATCCTCAAGGAGACGAAGTTTGTGGTATGCAAGCCACTACACAACTGATGAGAGAAAAGTAAGACCTAGGGGAAGGTTTCCCTACATCAAAATGTTTCAAACATGCAGTTCATTTTATTGTGGTAGCTTTGTAAGTAATGTATTACTATTTGGGGACATAGTGGTGTAAGTTCAAAGTAAAAATGTGTGAGTATGTAATTGGCATGACACCAAGATTTTGAGGTAGGGAAAGGAATGTTATTATTTTGTAAAACTTAGAAGAAGAAAAACAAGGGACGGTGCAAGGAAGTGAAAGCAGAATGTTTCCTGTGTTTCCAGCTTCCAAAACAAAAAGATCCAGGATTAGAGTCTCTCCTTTGCTGGGTGGCTCTATGGACAGGAGAGCAGGGAGGGCTGTCAGGGAGCCAGATTCCTGCAATAAAGGCTGATCTATCTAATGACAGCTGACTAGGATCCCTAATTAGTGAGGCAAAGCTGCCGTCGCCCTCCCACAACACAACCCAGCCTGCCACCAACATGTTCCTTTTCTTCCCTGTACACCCCTATGCTAGGGTGGGGAGGGTAGTTGGTGTAGAAGCCAACTCCACCAGCTTCATGGCACCAAAGAGTCCCCTTCTCCTTGCCCACTAGGGGAATTCTCATATGGCCAGCTGCCCCCAGATTTTGACTCCAAAAAGTATTAGGGTGAGCCTTAAATTAGCATATCCAATCCCCACGAGTACTGTGATGGAAGTAACAATAACAGTAGTAATAAGAAAAACTGCTCTGAGTGAACTGGACACTGAACTATAACAACAGACAGATTGCTATATTCCCGTATCCAACAATTGCAGTAGTAACTTTAGTACTTCTATATGCTCAGCTGGTATTAGAAAAGCCAGCGAAGACATACGTTGGAAGTATCTCCAACTTCATACTGTTTGATCTGGAATGGCGATAACACAAGCCAACAAAGGCAGTTAAAAGATGTGAAATGACATATATGGTATCACAAATTTCAGACAATTTGTATTCCAGAATGCTTTACAGAGTTGTGGTAGTGTACATTTACAAAGTGAAATGATGACCGCGGGAAAGAACATTTAAGTAACAAATGAAGTGGAGAGATACAGGAGTTCAGTTCCAGAGTGCAGGAGCCGCAGAGAAAAAGACTCTTAAGTTGACAGCCTTGAGATGTTAAGGGCAAGATGAAGCATGTGTTCAATGAGGGGAAGGAATAAAGAGGGGAGAACAGGAGGACAAAGTCTTCTAGATAGGAACAATTCCATGGAGGATTTTATAAACAAGAAAGATAGTTTTGAACCAGATCCTGAAATGAAACCGACCAAGTGGAGTTGTTTGAAAATGTTTGCATGTTTTTAAAGAGGGGTAGTATTCTACACTCGCTGGATTCTAGAAAGCTGGGGCTTGGGGAGGCCATTGAAAGGAGTCTAGGTGAGAGGAGCTGAAGGCATGGAAGAGGGTTTCATCAGAAGTGGAGCTGATCAGTGTACCACATCAGTGTAATATGTGGACAACAGGTGATAGAGACATTCACACACATAAGAATAGAAGGAACTAGAATAGATTGCATTGCATTTGTTGAAGGATCTATTACCCAAGAGAAGCACTAATGGTTTAGAGTACACAAAGGGGCTGCCCCAGTCATAATTGTTTATTATAAAAACTATAAAATATATATACTACTATAATACAGTTGTAGACTTTGCTCTGTCCTATTGTAAGGCCATGGTTCTCTACAAAGTTTCATGTAGACTTAAAAGTCTAAGACAGTAAAAGTTGATTAATGTGGTGGGGTTATTGTGCTTCACACACTGCTTTCATGTCACAGAGCAAGGGCCCAACCCTATCAGCCTAACTCAAGAGGGCCACTTTCATAAATAAAAACTGAAAAAAATGGGTCCCAACGCTTGCTTTCTTTTAAAAAAAGAACCAAGAACCAACCAAACAAAAACCTTCCACTATATTCTGGGCTTCACTACATGTGGTGCTGATTACTTGTAGAGAAATGTGTCTTCTTGTCCAAAAGATACATCTTCTATAAGCCAAATGTAATCTTGGGAAAGCCAATATGATGCAGGAAGATGAGTTTGTGTATTCTTAACAAATTTTAAAATACTGTAGTTACAATATTTTCTTCTTCTATGAGTCACATCTTAAAGTCTTTTCTCAGGCAAAATTCCCATTGATTTCAAGCATGAGCTTTGCCTGAGAAAAGATTGCAGCCTCTAGCCCTATGTAATTATTATCTATCAAATTTTCAACAAATAGAAATTACTAGAGTGTGTTTTGATGATCTCTGTATCTCTTCATCTACTGCTTCATATTATATCAATAATTTTTGCTGAATGATGGAGGGCAGTAATTAGATGCCGTTGACAAAAATGTAGTGCTCTTCCAGTAATTTAAATTATATTATTAATACTTTGAAATGTAGGTATAACATTTGTATGCTAGTGTAATAATTCTGTTGACAGTGATTTTATACTTATAGAAATTCTAATGATCGTTTAAAAAAGCCTTAATTTTAAATGTCTCATTGGAAAGTCATTTGATACTAACTGTAATAACATATTGATGAATTCCCATGGCCATCACATATAATTTCAATAGAACATTTTCAGTTGTGATTTGGAATTAAGACACTTAAAAATAAAGTTATGCCAATAATTATGCTAAAATGAATGCTGTTTTATTGGGCATAATATACAATTCTGCTGACTCTTTAAAAATTCTTACTGAATTTCTTAATTCAGATCTGTTGAGAGGGTTAGCAAATATGCATGCATCTATTAAACTTATTACTGCTTGAGCTATGCTTCTTCATTAATAATCTGTCCTTGCATTGCTTTTTACAGCTTCTGTCAATGACTCCAGATGAATACAAGCCATCTGATGTTAGTATACTATCAGTCTTTGCAATTTATTTGTATTCGTATCGATGGTGTATATATGGATTATGCCATATGCCTTACAGAGATAAGTTTACATGAAATTTTAAAATGTTCTGATCTTTTTATTAGCCTAGCCGTTATATTACAACCTTGATTATCCAAACCTACCTGTTGTCTAAAACAGGATCATCTTCCCATTGTCTGTTAATTACATTGAGAACTTCTTTGATTATCCAAAATCTTGATTATTTAAACTTACTAAGTATCAATCATGACATTAGAACATTTGAGGTTGTATTAACTGGCAAAAGATCTTCCTTAGTTCCTTGTATTTTAAAGAAAACATGCAACTCTGCTTTTCTAACATAAGCTACCCTAAAATTTGGTTTAATTCCTTCTTTGTGATGTGTTTTTAAAGTGTTCATGTTGAATTGCTGAGGTCCAGCAAAAATGACCACATACCTGAGTTGAATATTAAAATGGTGGAAAGTATGAAACTTTATTTGAACAGGCAACAAACTAATTACCCCAAAGGTAGGAAATCCTAACAGATTCTGAAGAGGGAAATGCTCTATTTCAGTCCCATACTCTAACAAATGGAGTTGCAGGTCTCCTCCTCCATGCAGCCTGGAAACAGCTGTAACTAAACCTGAATATGCCCCCTGGCCTTGTGACATCTACTGCATCAGGAAATCACATGATATATTTTGCAATGAGATTGGGTCTGTAAAACTGGCCCATCTGCATTGGTCAACTGCTAGAAACCCTTGCCAAACAAGGACAATGGTCAACAACACGTTGCAGAAAGGAAAGTTCAAATAGTGGCATAAACATTGAGTAATAAACAACTGTAACAAACACAGCTAATTTTACTAATTGTAACAAATGCAGATCACCCTACTGATTTAAAAATGCAAATCATTTGTACCCATCATCTTCATCAGTACTGGAAATCTTTAGACAGAAAATTAACCTTGAAAAATATCCAGCCACAAGACTGCCTCAAAGAGAGGGATAGGACTCATGGCTATGGCATAGAACTAGTGAGAAGATCAGGGTTCTTTCATAGCTTGGCCAGAGATTGCCTATGACACCTAACAGAAGTCTCAACCTTTCCATGCCTCCACTGGTGTGTCTTTAAAATAGGTGTAATGCCTACCTCACAGTGATGGTTTGAGGATTAAGTAATGTTTATAAAGAGCTTTGAGATTCTTTGATGGGAGTTACTGTAGAAGTGCAAAGCACCACCATCGTTATTATTACTGTTTTGTTAAAGAAAATATAACGAAATCAGTGTAATAATTCTTTTTAGCATAAATTGGTCTGCTAAAATTATTCTTAGGACAGTTGTGTTGACATCATGTGTAATGTGTGATTGTTCAGTATATAGAGAAACCTGCTGAAATGATTTCATTAAGTTTATTTCATATTTTAAAAGCAATACCTAGTGAAAGTTAGTAAGTAGCAGTTTCACTCACACAGAAGCTTTTCTAAAAGGAATGCCTTTCTCCAATCCTCGTTTGACAGGTCCTGCTCGTAACAGTGAATGGGACTCCTGTAGATTATCACACCATACACCCCACACTTCACTTGGAGAATGGCCCTGCCAAAGCTGATATGTACTCAACCCCACAGTACAAATGGGAGCCATCAGATGACATGTCAGGTAGTAACATGAATTATTTGGGAATAAACTTGCATGTTTGGTACTTTATTATTTACTCTATAGTTAGATTCTTTGCCTTGTGCATTTTTTGTTAAGCAGCTTGGCATAAGGATTTAAGAAACTGTTAGAACAAATTGATAAATTAAACAGCAGTAAGTCTCCAGAACTACATGGTATTCACCCAAGAGTTCTGAAGGAACTCAGATATGAAATTGCAGAACTACTAACTGTAGTATATAACCTATTGCTGAAACAAGCATCAGTACCAGATGGCTGGCAAGTAGCTAATATGAAACTCATTTTTTTAAAAGAGTTCTAGAGGATTATTCTGGCAATTACAGGCTAGTAAGCCTAACATCAGTACTGGGCAAATTGGTAAAGATCAAGATGATCAGAAACGTGGATGAACACAATTTGTTGGGGGAGAGGCAACATGGCTTTTGTAAAGGGAAGTCATGCTTCACCAATCAATTCGAATTATTTGAGAGTGTCAGCAAGCATGTGGATACAGGTGATCCAGTCAATACAGTGTACTTGGATTTTCTAGAAAGCATTTGACAAGGTCCCTCACCAAAGGCTCTTAAGGAAACTTAGTTGGCATGGCATAATATGGAAGGTCCTCTCAGGGATCAGTAATTAGTTAAAAGATATGAAACAAAGGATAAGAATAAATGGTCGGTTTTCAGAATGGAGAGAGGTAAACAGTGGGGTCCCCAAGGGAATTGTACTGGGGCCAATTCTATTCAACATACCCATGAATGATCTGGAAAAAGAGTGAACCAGGAAGTGGCACAGTTTGTAGATGACACAAAATTATTCAAGATAGCTAAGTCCAAAGCTGACTGCAAAGAGTTACAGGGGGGCTCACAAAACTGGGTGACTGGCCAACCAACTGGCAGATGAAATTCAGGGTTGAAAAGGGCAAAATAATGTGCATTGGAAAAAATAATCCCAAATCCACATGTATAATGTTGGGTTCTAAACTAACTGTTATGACTCAAGAAAAAGACCTTGGAGTCATCATAGATAGTTCTTGGAAAACTTCAGTTGAAGGCCCAGCTGAGGTAAAAAATACTAACAGGATGTTAGGAACTATTAGGAAAGGGATAGAAAATAAGACAGAAAATATCATAGTGCCACTATATAAATCCATGATAAACCCACAACTTGAATATTGTTTCCAGTTTTAGAGACCCCATCTGAAAAGGGATATAGTGGGAATGGAAAAGGTTCAGAGAAGGGTGACAAAGATGAACCAGGGTCTGGAACGGCTTCCATACAAGAAGAGACTAAAAAGAATAGGGATGTTCATCTTAGAAGAGAGATGATTAAAGGGAGGTATGATAGAGGTCTATAAAATCATGAATGGTGTGGAAAAAGTGAATAGAGATGTGTTGTTTAGCTTTTCCTACAATGCCAAAACCAGGGGTCACTCAAATTAATAGGCAGCGGATTTAATACAAACAAAAGAAAATACTTTTTCACACAATGCCCAATTAACCTGTGGAATTCATTGCTAGAGGATGTCGTGATGGCCAAAATTTACTCAGTTTGTGCAAAGACTGTAGAGTTTTGAACTGTGTGTGCATGCGCTGCCATTAGACTTATTTGAATTGCACTGTAAGAATCTTTTTTTACTTAGAAAAGAAAGAAGAGGAAGATGAGGAAGAAGAAGAGGAGGAAGATATTCAGGAGAAAAAAGAAAGTGTTAAAATACATGCCATGGTCTCCGTCTTCCATTTTATCATGAAACAAAGTTACATTTGTGCTCTGATTGCAATGATGGTAGGTATGAAAGACAAAAATAATTGAGTTGGAGTACTATACATAATCTAATTATAGATGTCATCTAACTCTGGAAATGAGCTTTTGCCACCTTATTGACAGCATAAATATATTTATCTTCAAAATGTCTTGGTGAAGGGTGATTTGTCGTGTTGATTTTTCATTGGTGTTTACTTTAATGTTGTAAAATCTGGACCTGAGCTTGAATCCGTTGGATGCATGTGGTTTAATAAAACATTACCCCTCAAATTATGCCTTGATCCTACCACCAACTCCTTATGGGGTAGGGCACAGGTTTCTGCTTGCAGAGATTCCGTTACAGAATCAGGGCTTAAAATTCTAGCTTTAAACTACATAGTATTTTGTTACTTGTGGCAGATCAGAAAATGCTCAACATGCTAATTTTTCTGATAATTCAAAAGCGTTTTTTTAGTGAGTTTTAATGCATTTACTCAAATCAGAAATTGTCTGCAAAAATAAAGCACTTCATAGTCATACAGTAAATCTAAACTTGCCATTTCTACTTCAAATTGAATCGATGCATCTTGTTCAAACTCTGTATGAAAATAAACCTTGATTTCTTTCATCTACACAGGGAAGACATCTAGGAAAATACAATTTTGTGCCAACAATTTTTTTTGTCATTAATTTTCTTCTTTTGAAATTACACTGCCTATCCCTTAAAACATAGGGTCATTTTGTGCAAATTAGCCTCGGATTATACTGTAGCGAGTTCACAGCGTGATAGATAGTTCTCTGTCAGCACTTCCAAGGTCTGGCTTTTCTATTTTCAAAAGGTTTCAACTGGGATGCAATTTACATAAAGTGTCTTGGCCCAATCTTGCTTTAAATTTTTAAAAATAGTTTGGCCACTTTTTGTTTGCATACAGCAAAAGAAAACAGATTTTTTGGTTTGGTTTTCGGACTTCTGTTTGCTGTCCCTTAGCATGAAAAGTCTCTGGAGATAAACAAAACATAGCAGATTCTTTGTGCAGAATCTGGATTGAATATGGTGCTTTTTGAGATGTTAATAAGTAGTTACTTTCTTGCTGTGGTATATTCATTTTTTTGAAGTGACTGCTGCACATGTGCTTTAATTACTTTAAATTCCATTCAGCGTTCAAATCTGTCAGTATCAGTGATGGAGCTGTATTGTTCTGAGCTTTCTTCTAGTCTTAAATTGAGATAATATGAGCTCTGAAGGACGTTTGTTCTAAGTGTTGTGAACCAAATTCAGCTGCTGTTCCACTTATACCGTACCCAAACGTGACCATTGTCTGTGTTACAGTTGTGAATCTTAATGAAAGAATAGCATATGCACGATTCTCAGAGGCTATAATGGACACTGTATCAATTCAGGACTAATCCAGCCTTGATTAAAATATTCTTCATATTTCATGCTTTTCTGTCTAAACAAAAAAAAAGAAATTAAGACTCCATTGACTTCAGCTAAATTACTCTAGATTTATACTGGTGCATTGCCAATACCAGAATCTAGTCCAAAATCTATAACAGCGTTTAATAAAAAGACACCTCCCCCCGTGCTATAATACAGTGTTTTGTCCAGAACAGTTGTTTGATACCTGTAAAATGAGCAGAGCATTTGAATATACTGTAAGAAACAATGCTACACTGGGTTGGGTTAGGCTAGGTCAGTCTAAGTCTACTCCATCTCTAATCTCTAATATCTAGAGTACAACAGAGAGTGAAATCTAAAGCATGCTTTATAGTCACTGCTGAATTCTGGGAGACCTAAACTAACACTTCTACTGAAGTACCAAGACGCAAAGGTACCAGACAAAATTTTTTTTATCTAAACTGTGAATTTCCTAGGAATCTGTTACAGTATGTAGTCCAGAGGATCTACTGTAGCTGTCAGTGGCCCAATTCATATTAACATAAATGAGAGTCACATGGCTAAATCTACATACAAATAATGAAATATGAAAACATATCCTAGACAAAGTGTGTCAAGTTGGGCAGTGCTGTAAAGTTTTACTGACTGTATGCAGTAATACTGTAACTAAGTGAATATATGAACATTTTTCTCTCTCTCTCCCATCCCCTCCCTCCCAAGGCTTGGAGTATCACTTATCACAGTTGGTTGACTTTTGTGTTATTGATCTGGTCCTGCACACTTTGGATGATTCGTGACCGAAGGAAATATGCTATGATCAGTTCACCTTTCATGGTTGTTTATGGAAATTTGCTGTTAACATTACAATATATATGGAGTATTGACCTAAATAATGATGAGCTTCCTAAAGTTTCAGGATTTTTAGAAAAGAAGGATCCTGGGGAATTAGCATCAAAGGTAAGTGTAGTTTACTTACAGACATCTGTAGTTTAAAGAACTAAACAATAATCACTAGCCATCAGTAAAAATTTCAGGTCCTTTGGTGTTTAATACAATGAATAATCCTGTTCAGCATGGGACTTACAGTACAGGATGAGTGGTTAAAAAATACAATAGCACAAAATTCCTTCTTGCCGGTAAATTAAATACTATAATGAATGTGTCAAATTTAGATAATTTTATAAAATAGTTCTCACCAGGGAGAAAATAGCATTAGTATTTGGCCCTATGAAAACAGAAGGAAAGGGAAGAGAAAAAACATGTACTTCGATTTGTTAAATACGAGATAAATTAAATAGAATTATGAGGCAGCTTTTGTTTTATGAAACCTGTTTGTACGTACACACACACACACACACACACAACCTATACATAAACACTATACATACACAAATTGTATACATTTTTATAAGTGCATTTCTGCTTTGTCATTAGCATCAGTCAGTACAGGTGAAAACTCAGTGCTGTAGTTGTACTTAAATAAAAGATTTCCATTCCCTTCTCTTTTTTCTGAATGAAGACTAATGTAGCAGACCTCAGTACAGTGGTTGTTCCCTCCTTTCTCCCTTTCATTTTTAGTTATTTTGTTGGCAGAATTTGTGTGTGGCAACACTTTATCACCCCACCTCTCACAGCCCATGACATTCTGTCTCAGCTATTCATGAACACTTTTGTTATGAACACATATTGCATGTGGAGTCTGGTGGAATTAAAAATTGCAAATCCAGACACTTGTAAGTATATGATAAAATCTGCTGACTTTAATGGGAGCAGAGTTTAGGCCAGCATTTTGAAAATTTCATGTGTAGCTCTTTTTCGCTTTTCAAGTTATCCACAAACACTTAGAAATATTAGATAAATGTACTGTGTGAAGAATAAAAAAATATTGTGAGAACACTTCTGGTCCAGATACTTTCAGGAATATTTCTCTGTGTTATTATTCATGACACTATGAACATTTGCTGTCCATAAACATTCTTATGAATAAAAAAATCATCTGAATGCTTCCGAACAAGTGAATAAAAAGGATTGTACGTTTTAGTGAGTGGAATCACTGGCTTTTATTCACCAGAATATTCATAGGTACCATTTTTGGTATATTAATGAACACCTGAGATGTCATGCCAGTTTAAGTATAAGAGCCTCACTATAAGAGCAGCGGAAAAAGATAATTGAACCTGTAATGTCAAATATTTTTTTAATTTGTGAAGAGTAGCTGAGTTCATTTGACTATCTAAAAACACACCAAATTTGTCTCTAAGAATAGAAGTGCCTAGGTCAGCAAGCTTTTTGAGCATGTGCCAAACTTTAAGCACATGAATAGTCTATTGAAGTTAATGGAACGACTCTCACACATAAAATTAGGCACATGCGCAAGTACTTATCAGAATTAATTCTTTAGTCATTCAGTTGAAGAAACATGAATTGGAATCACCTTAGATCACAAATGAAAGCATTTCTTGGTCTCAATTAATGAGGCTTTTTTTCACCCAGATATTTGCCCTGTCTTGAGACCAGTACATTTGGCAGATTATCTTTGAGGGAGGAAAGTGAGCACACAATAGAAGCTTCTTCATAGAGCACTCAAGAGGAGTTTCTCACAGAATGTGGATAGTTCGCCCAATTCCCTTATAACTGAGTGAACCACTTCCATCATGATACACTTGATTTCCATTTGAAGAGGTTCTGCACCTGTATTTCCTGCTTGGCAGTGCCCCTTGCCAAGCCATGACTGGATTTATAATGTATTTGAATGCTAGTGAGCATTCTATTATTTTTCCTATGGAAGGTAGTGCTAGTCTTGATAAGAGTGATTAAATAGTCAAGAGGTAAGTTCTGCAATTTCTCTTCATTGACTTTGTAAATCTCTCTTAAGAGATTTGGCTGCCTTGATATATTGCCAGCCCCTTTTCAATAATTTCAAAGATGAATTGCATTGTGGAATGTCATATTTAAAACTAACTGCTGTCAGGAAAGTGAAATTATTTTGTATATGGGATGATTTTAGTTACACCTATAAAACTAACTGAAGAACATCTGTTGGATTTGTTAGACTGGATAAAATGCACCCTGTGGATTTAAATAAAGATTCAGTGGAATAAAAGAGAAGTGAATGTACCATAATTTTCCCTGCATATATTTGTATGGGCTTTGAAGAGTGTGTACTGGCTTGAAAGGTAGAGCTGCATTGCACAGAGGCTGGCTGTCAGAGGCAGTATGAAAACACCTCTATATTCCACAGCTCCAAAAGCTAGTCTGGTACTGGCAGTGACTCCAAAGAGGACAGCAGCTGAGCAAAATAGAGCTCAGTCAGTGTAGGGGTAAATGCATGTTATCTGATGCTCAAGGTTGCATAGCAGTGGCCACTTCTCTGTGAATTTGCCCAGCACTCCTGGAGGATTAGGGCAGATCTTCAGCTGGTGTAAATTTATCATTAATTTCAGTGGACCTATGAAAATTTATCCCCAGTGAGGATCTGCCCCCATTGTGTCTGAGTCAGCACAATGCTTTTGAAAGTCACTTCTGATGATGTGGAACCTCTTGTTGCTACCTATTCTCATGGGCTTAGCTTAACAGCCATAAAATGGCCCTTCATGTGTGTGAAAGGTGCTGTGTTAATATGACCGGAGAATGAAGCCCTCTATTACCCCACAGAACAAAGAGATGGTGGTAGTAGCAGAGTAGGTTTCCTCCATGCTGATCTGCCAATATACTTTAACATTGATGTGAAGCATCCATCTCCAGAAGGGAGAGAGTAGTTCTGTTTCCATTACCCACCTCTCTTTGAGATACCATTTTGTGTCAGTTGTAATGGTTTTTGTGATGTATGTATTCTGCAAACTGGAATGAGGCTGCCAACTCGATTTACAGACACCACGAACAGCCACCTTGAGAAAAGAATTTTGTGTCACTGCCAATCTGGGCTGGATTCATACTAGTTGCTTTGAAATGATGGTCTATGTACCCCATTATCAGTTCCCTAAGTCATCCACTTACCCCAAGGATTTGTTTTCTGCTCTGTAACCCTGGATTACATCTAGCAGTACACAATGGAGGGAGATTCCACCCCCCCAATCAATAGCTTAAAAGTGTTGACCCAAACTCTCTGTGCATTTGCCATTCATGAAAGGGCTTCACTTATCTGTTACGTTTGTATGTTTAGCAGTTTTGATATTTATTTTCAGTATTTATTTTTAGCTAATCTGGTGCCTTTTCACTCCTTTAAAAACTGAGTTTCCCTGTCGTTATTATTTATTTCTCTTGTGATAGTGTTTAGACATCCCCTTCAGGGATTGGGGCCTGTGGAGATAGGCATTTTACATATACATGTCCCTTCCTCAAAGAGCTTACAGTGTAAATCAGGTTCATTTTTATGGTAAATTCATCAATTTGAGCTGAAATCAGTTGTTTTATTATAATATAATGGTGATGAAATGATGCAGGATCACTCACTCAACTTCTGGCCATTCAGTATTTTTGGAACATACGTGCTTCCTGCACCACTTCTCACACTACTGGTATGTGTCACGTGGAAGCAAGTGAGAACAAAGACTGTGATCACAATGTAAATTACATCCGAATGCACAAACAGGAAGGATATATCATTAAAAATCTCTTAAAAGGAACATTGTCATTTTTGTCAGTGTTTATAACCATTATCAATGGCTGAAAAACATAACAAGAAGTCATTGTTTTATCAGTTGCTTTCAGTTCACATGAAAAAGCAGAATCACTTTTTATTAGGGCTGTCAAGCAATTAAAAAAATTAATTGTGATTAATCACACAATTAATCGCGCTGTTAAACAATAATAGAATACCGTTTATATAAATATTTTTGATGTTTTCCACATTTTCAAACATATTGATTTCAATCACAACACAGAATACAAAGTGTACAGTGCTCACTTTATATTTTTTATTATAAATATTTGCACTCTAAAAATAAAAGAAATAGTATTTTTCAATTCACTTAAAACAAGTACTGTGTGCAATCTCTTTATAATGAAAGTAGAACTTATAAATTTATAGTTATGTACAAAAAATAATTGCATTCAAAAACAAAACAATGTAAAACTTTAGCGCTTACAAGTCCGCTCAGTCCTACTTCTTGTTCAATCAATTGCTCAGACAAACAAGTTTGTTTACATTTGAAGGAGATAATGCTGCCCGCTTCTTGTTTACAATGTCACCTGAAAGTAAGAACAGGCATTCGCATGGCACTGTTGTAGCCGGTTTAGCAAGATATGTACTTGCCAGATGCGCTAAATATTCATATGTCCCTTCATGCTTAAACCACCATTCCAGAGGATATACATCCATGCCGATGATAATGATCCAAAGCAGTGCAGACCAACACATGTTCATTTTCATCATCTGAGTCAGATGTCACCAGCAGAAGGTTCATTTTCTTTTTTGGTGGTTCGGGTTCTGTAGTTTCTGCGTCTAAGTGTTGCTCTTTTAAAACTTCTGAAAGCATGCTCCACACTCCATCCCTCTCAGATTTTGGAAAGCACTTCAGATTCTTAAATCATGGGTCGAGTGCTATTGCTATCTTTAGAACTCTTACATTGGTACCTTCTATGTGTTTTGTCAAATCTGCAGTGAAAGTGAACAACATGCTGGGTCATCATCTGAGACTGCTGTAACATGAAATATATGGCAGAATGCAGGTAAAACACAGAGCAGAAGACATACAATTCTCCCCCAAGGAGTTCAGTCACAAATTTAATTAACACATTATATTTTTAATGAGTGTCAACAGCATGGAAGTATGTTCTCTGGAATGGTGACCAAAGCATGAAGGGGCATACGAATGTTTAGCATATCTGGCATGAAAATACCTTGCATGCCAGCTACAAAAGTGCCATGTGAACATCTGTTCTCTCTTTCAGGTGACATTGTAAATAAGAAGCGAGCAGCATTATCTCCTGTAAATGTAAACAAACTTGTTTCTCTTAGCGGTTGGCTGCACAAGAAGTAGGACTGAGTGGACTTGTAGACTCTAAAGTTTTACGTTGTTTTGTTTTTGAGTGCAGTTATGTAACAAAAAAAATCTACATTTGTAAGTTGCACTTTCACAATAAAGAGATTGCACTATGGTACTTACATGAGGTGAATTAAAAAATACTATTTCTTTTATCATTTTTACAGTGCAAATATTTGTAATAAAAATATAAAGTGAGCTCTGTACACTTTGTATTCTGTGTTGTAATTTAAATCAATATATTCGAAAATGTAGAAAACCTCCAAAATATTTAATGCATTTCAATTGGTATTCTATTATTTAACCATACGATTAATCACAATTAATTTTTTTTACTTAATCGTGTGAGTTAACTGTGATTAATTGACAGCCCTACTTTTTATATTACATCGTCAGCCTGGTTAGCAGCAGCAGCAACCCCACAGTAGAGTATACCAAATATTTGATTGTTTGTATGTCTCATTTAAAATTTTATTCTTGTTTTCTGTATAAAGTAATGAAATGAGGCTTGATCCTGAACCACTGAAATCCATGGGAGCATTGACTTCAGTGGATATAGGCTCAAGCCCATGATAAACAGGTGCCATTCTGTTTTCTGTGTTCTGGCTGGCTTTCAGTACTGACACTTGCTGAAGTTGGCAGTATAGAAAACACAAAAGTACACACTCTTTGTTTAAAATATTTATTTATTTATGTACCTGGTTATGGAATAATAGACTATCCTCTCCTAGCGCAAGGAATCAAAAGAGAAACTTATTAACAAAAGCCACAGAATAAAAAGTCAATTTCCTATCCAAACTGGATGACAGCTGCAAGTAAAATAAACTTGCTTTTAATGGAATAGGTTGCCTAAATGACCTAGCTTCCAGAAATGTGTTCTTTGGCAATGATGATATTGTTGCCAATTTTGCTGAATAGTGGAAAACAAAGGCATGAAAAACATTTCAAAATATCTGTTAACATTAGCAGGATCTAGGATGTACAATTAGTCTGTCTCTCTTGTTTTTGTTTTTATTTTTGCTTGCAGATCCTTTTCACGATTACTTTCTGGCTACTGCTTAGGCAACACCTCACAGAGCAGAAAGTGCTTCAGCTAAAAGAAACTTCTTTAGATGAGGTCAAAGTTGAAGATGAAGAAAATGAAGAAAAAGGTAAAAGAATATCAAGTTTGACTGCTTCAATGAATGTAGGAGGTTATGGTTACTTCTTTTCTTATTGCTAAAGTAACTGGAAAGTTGCATCTGCTATTGACTGAGTGCAAAACAATATGTTGCTAAATCCATGCACTATAAATTTCTCAGGGGACATAAGAAAATAGCTTTGAACTTGATAATATCAAACAAAATATATAAACTCTCTTTACAGTTGAACGACAGTAAATGATATGACGAAATAAATAACTTGAATGGGAAATACAGGAAAAACCTTCTATAGATGCACCACAATTGCGCCCCCTCACACCCTAAAAAAGATCACTGTACACAAAATTTAACCATAAAAGGAGAAAGGCCTACATGGATAATGTCCATTGGGATTTCATTGGGAGCTGCACCTTTGTAACCAAGAGCAGAATTTGGCCTATAGGTTTCAGTGAGGTGTAGTTATTCTTGTTTTAAACTGATTTAAATCAGATCAGAATCAGGCCTGGGATGTGATGATCAGAGCCACGAGTCACTCCCTGAAATTGCCAGGCCCTGGCATTATTTATATGTGCAGATGCCTTTTGATGGCCCCCACTTCACACCCAGCATAGCAAGACTAGGAACAGGGATTTCTCCATACTGCTCCCATTAATGACACAGCAGTAACTTGCCCTTTTTTTCATGGTTTGATCACAATAGAGCAAGAGGGAGGGATAGTCATTCTTTTGAAATGCGGCATTTAACTCCCACCTGGTATGACACATCTATATGTTTTTTTAAGTTTTGTTGGTTGGTTGGTTTTAAACAGGAACCTCTGCTTTGAATTTCAAAGCTGTCTAATGTTTGTGGTTTTGGCCAAAACCACAATATTCCCTTTGGAATTTATGTCTCTGGATATCAAGGATACATTTTTTTCCAGTTTAACAATGTTTTTTGCCTGAAAATATAGGCATAACAGTATATATTTGCTTTGACTATGATCCAATACATAGCCTTCAGGCCATGGTTCTTGTCAAGGCTGATTCCCCACTCTGGCACTTTGAGTGCAGAAGGTGGGGGCCCGCAAGGATTTTAAAAATTAATACTGGCCACTCCAGGCTGGTATTAAACTCCAAAGGTCACAGCTTCTCTCTGACCTTGGATGGTAGATGCTGCCACCACCCAAATGCAGAAAACCCCTTTGAAACCAGAAAGGCACACTTGGGAATTCCTTCCTTTGGGGTATCCTCAAGCCCTTTCATCCCCCCAGCCCCCCAAACCCTTTGGGGAAGAGCTGAGGAAGAAAAACAAAGGAAATCAGCTGTTGCCACCAGCTAATTAGACAACATGCACAAACCTCTTAGGACACCAAAAATCCAGTCCTGTTCTTAAAAAAGGTAAATTTTGTTAAATACAAAATGAAAGAAAATACATCTGGAATTTAGGCTTTTGCCAGATTTAAAAAAACCACTTACAAAATTTAAACATCAAAAATAACCTTCTTGAGATCCATCTTAAAGGTTACAAGCAAAATGGAAAGCATTAGGGTTAGCACAGAGGAGTCCACAAGCCAATAAGAAATAAACAGAAATAAACCTAACCGCGTCTTCCTAGACGCTCCCTAATTTATTTACATATCTGGGGTTTCAGGTAAGCAATCTATAGGTATGATCTGATGGTTTTTCATACCTGGCTTTCAGCTTCTCACAGCATAACTGCTCCCTGTTCCCCTCTTTCCCGGAGAACCACAACACACAGACAAAGGGAAGTTTTTTCCCAATCTTAAAAAGTTCTAGGCTTCCCATTGGCTCTTTTGGTCAGGTGCCCAGTCCTTTCCTTTTACCTATGGGCTTGTTAACCCTTTACAGGTAAAACAAGTAGAGAGCAACCACCAAGAGGGATTCCACAGCCAACTGGCTGGCTGGGTCCACAAAAGGGAGCTATCCCTGCTCTCATTTATCACAGTTCTCCACTATGTCTGAGTGCAGCTTGGGCAAAGTGGGGAGCGGTAATCACAGGGAATTGCTGTGGCTTCCTCACCTTTTGGCCACCCTGCCCCAGTGGAAGTCCAAGCAAATTAAGCTACAGACCTTATGCCCAGTGAACGATCATGGAGCTCTGCCACAGCATGCCTTCTCCTGTCCCAACCCACCTTCCAGAATGCCCCTGAAAAGTCTCTTCCCCTTATGGTGGCAGTGAAGGCTAGTGGCTTACAAGGTGACATAGAGGGAATATTCTACTCGCAGGAATTTGAGGGAATACTCTACTGGCTATCTCCAGCTGTTTTAAAGACACTTTGTGCTGCTTACTCAGCACAAAGTGACCTTAGTGGACCAGAGAATCTGGCCCTCTGATTTTTGAAAGGGGTGGAAGAGTGAGTACATTTACCAACTAGGCACCTGGGCATAGGAGTTTGGTCATGGAGACACTACTGTCAACTTGTAGAGGAGGAAAATAACATATTTTAGAAGGAAATGCATGACCAAAATTCTCTGGAGCCTTCTGGTGAATTTTCTCCCTCAATCAGAAGCAGAGGTTATAAAGTCAATTCAGACATGTATCTAAATGTAATCTAAGCTTCCATGTCCTGCATAAAGCTTTTATGCTTTACCTCATTTACAATTACAAGGAAAGATCCTATAAAGGAAAGATCCTGTAAAAATAGGTTGGGGGTGATGCAACTTGATTTGTGTCTTTGCAGAAGAGGAATTGCAAGAAGGGGAAGTGACAGAGGAAGCAGATGAAGAAGATGAGGATGAACAGGACATTATGAAAGTCCTGGGAAACTTGGTGATGGCTATGTTCATTAAGTACTGGATTTATGTCTGCGGAGGAATGTTCTTCTTTGTCAGCTTTGAGGGCAGAATTGTCATGTACAAAATCATCTATATGATGCTCTTCCTCTTCTGTGTGGCCCTGTACCAGGTAAATGAGAGCAATACTAAGCAAAATTCTTCCTTTGGTTGCACTGCTGCATCCTCTTGACTCAGCACCAGTGGAACTGAGAACAACATTTAATAACTTAATCCACTGTGTATTCTTTCTTTCACTAGTTCTCAACAGCTTAGACCATTTGAAGAGTTTTGATTCTCTGAAACCTCAATAGATCGGCTGATGGGAGAGAGAAGCAAAGTTTTAAAAGTTGTAGTTTGGATAAGCACCCAAACATATGAATGCTTAGCTGAACGAGAACCCAGACTCTGTGGTGATGGGCACCCTAGAACTAAATTAGTAATTTTATAATATTAATAATCAACCACTCAAAACCTTTTGAGCCTGAAGAATTGTTCTGGGTAACTTATGAGGACAGGTTGTTTCATGAGATTTCTGACTTTTTTTCCTTCCGATCCTGGCTGGAACTTGGAAGAATAGAGCTTACATAAACATGAGGGGGAAAATGAAAAAAGTTAACTTAAAATGGATCAAGTTGGGGTTTGTTTAGAATTTTGGACTAAGATTCACCATGGTTGTTTTATCGAGGCCAGTTTAACCATCCCTAGCTGAATTTAGGAATACTATTGATCTTTACATTAGAACTGCATGACTTCATGTTTGATTGCTGATGACGGCCACTTTTCCATTGCTTAGCTGTAGACCACAAAATAAACAATACTATGATACTACAAAGACTGGTTCTCCCTTTGCTACCTGGACATGTCTCTGATAAGTAACAATGAGAGTTAAGCCTCCATGTCAAGAATAAAAAATGGTGTTAGTTTAGAGGGGAGGGTTATAGTTTTATAGAGATCTGCCTGCACAAGAGTATAGTTTGGTGGATTCTTCTGCTTTGGATCTATTTGCCTTACCATCTTCAATGGCTGGTTCCCAGGTGCACTATGAATGGTGGAGGCGAATCCTAAAATATTTTTGGATGTCAGTGGTTGTTTACACTATGCTGGTGCTTATCTTCATCTATACATATCAATTTGAATCATTTCCTGGCTTGTGGATGAACATGACAGGGCTAGATGAAAAAAAGTGAGTATTTTCATTTTACTTAGACTTATTGTACACAAGCAGATGGGTAGTGATTTTTTTTCATACTGTTACAAAGACTTTATATAGGTCTGTGTAAAACTCCCTATTTTGCTTTGCAGATTTTCATAGTAAAAAAGCTGAGATTTTCACCAATATTTGTAAACAATTTGCAAACCTGGACTCACATTAATTTTGACATGAGAGAAATGGTGATGTTTTGCACTCTTTGATCTCCTTCCTCCACTTCCTTATTATTATGGAAAAAATGTCAGGAAACCTTCTCCAACCATGACTGGCTTTGGGGGGTTTTGCTGCCCCATGCACACAAGCAAATATGTGCCCCTACACCTCTGCTGTCACCCCCACAAAAATGTCACTGAACATTTTGCTGTCCCTGCTATTTGGTTGCCCTAGATGACCACCTCTTTCTGACTACCAGTCCTAATTTCTGACCACCCTAATTCTGACTACACAGTGGATAAATGGAGGTGTCCTGCGAAACATTTTTTGCTTTTCCCTAATCATTCTCCTAAAGGCATAACCCTTCCTTAAAAGATAGACTTAAAGGCTGTAACAAAAACAAAACAAAAAATAAAAAATAAAAACACAAAACACAAAACAAAATCTTCTGAAACAGCAGATATATGCCAAATCTGCCATCTTATATAGGATCCCAGTAAACTGTTTTGTAGAAGCAGAACAAACCTCTTTTACTGCTTTCTATTGCCAACAATATTGTAACAATGTAGTTGTTGGCTTGGAGCTGGAAAAGCTGGCTCTGAAATACTACACTGAAAACATTTGATATAAGAAAGAAATTAAATCTACAAATGTTGTGGCAGTGGTAATTTATTTAATAGTGCTTATTTAGTGTGACTCATATCTTTAAAGGGTTAAGTGGCAAGGTAAGGTACTGTACATTTGCATTGTTCTTATCTTTTGTTCGGAAAAATGAAAAGATAAAAGATACATAGCAAGTACAATCTTACTTACTGTGCCATTTTGTGACTATTCACCTAATGTGATATGGGAGAAATATTGCAAAATTCATTTTGAACAGGTGACTTAGTGACTTGTTTTATTTTTCAGACTAGAGGATCTCGGTTTAAAACAGTTTTCTGTGGCTGAGCTGTTCACACGTATCTTTATTCCAACCTCTTTCTTATTGGTGTGTATATTACACCTTCATTACTTCCATGACCATTTCCTCCAGCTCACTGACTTAAAAGCTGTAACCAGCAAACAGGACAGCACTATTTACAGGTAAACAAGCAAAGTAAACAAAGCTACCAGTTGTCCATAATATAGTACTCTTTTCTACTGTTCTCTAACAATTTACTTTGCAGGAAATGTTATTTGCCTTTTTATAACCCACTGATTAGCGCCCCCTTCCCACCCAGCCTCCCTCCCCCCCCCACACACACACACATATGCACGCACACACATAGTTAGGTTTAGACTTTGGGGTAGATTTTCAGAGTACAAAAGACACTTATGTCACCTAACACCCGTTGACTTTCAGTGGGCATTAGGTGCCACATGTGCTTTTTAAGAACCCTGACAAGAATAGGGAAGATTTTCAAAGTGACTGTTGATTTTGACAGGTTTCAGAGGAACAGCCGTGTTAGTCTGTATTCGCAAAAAGAAAAGGAGTACTTGTGGCACCTTAGAGACTAACCAATTTATTTGAGCATGAGCTTTCGTGAGCTACAGCTCACTTCATCAGATGTATACCGTGGAAACTGCAGCAGACTTTATATACACACAGAGAATATGAAACAATACCTCCTCCCACCCCACTGTCAGCTATTACCAGCAGGACAGTGGGGTGGGAGGAGGTATTGTTTCATATTCTCTGTGTGTATATAAAGTCTGCTGCAGTTTCCACGGTATACATCTGATGAAGTGAGCTGTAGCTCACGAAAGCTCATGCTCAAATAAATTGGTTAGTCTCTAAGGTGCCACAAGTACTCCTTTTCTTTTTGTTGATTTTGAGTACCCAATATTTGAGTGCCCACATTGAGACAAGTTCAAGAGGTCTGCATTTTGGAAAGTGCTGCGCAGCTGCCCTGTGAAAATCAGGCCCCTTTATTAAGGTGTCTCATACTGAGCTCTCACAAATTAAACCACTAGGCACTTTTGAAAATCTTGGCCTTTATACTGTGCCAGCTCGCTAGACTATTAAGCAAACTCATCAAAATGTCTAACAGAGTATTGTGATTCTCGCAGCCCTTCCACCTTATTCACTGTTATACACTTAAAGATTTTTCTGCACAAAAGCAAATTTGTGCTTCCATCATGTTTACAAAAGAATAGGAGATAAAAATGGGTTTCTTTTAGAAATGGATTTGACTGTTGTTTTTGTGAAGTAGCAAAGTGCTTTAGATTGTTAATTTGAAGTAAAACGTTTGCATTCTAAATATAACATGTAGTGATGTGTGACACAATGACATTTTTATGGTCATGAACTTGGGAAGACTGCACTGTGCCATAAATGAACTATGGGGCAATACCAATTTACACCAGCTGAGAATTTGGCCCAATTTGTTTAATGGCTTGAAATTTAGGAAATAAAGGAATGTCTCTGGTAATCATAATCAGATATCTGGTTTATACCTATGTTTATATATGTTTATACCTAACTGTACAGCATACTGTGACAGGGTCGGGCCAGATGGCTATAGGAGAGTAATAGAAGACAGATATATTAGCCCCAGGCTAAGTAGGTCCCTTTTCCCTGGATAAGGTAACAGGGGAGGTTTCAGAACAATCAGGAACCTTCTGGAGACAATTAAGACAGGCTGATTAGAACACCTGCAGCCAATCAAGAAGCTGCTAGAATCAATTAAGGCAGGCTAATCAGGGCACGTGGGTTTTAAAAAGGAGCTCACTTCAGTTTGTGGTTTGTGAGGAGCTGGGAGCAAGAGGCACTAGGAGCTGAGAGTGAGAACGTGGACTGTTGGAGGACTGAGGAGTACAAGCATTATCAGACACCAGGAGGAAGGTCCTATGGTGAGGATAAAGAAGGTGTTGGGAGGAGGCCATGGGGAAGTAGCCCAGGGAGTTGTAGCTGTCACACAGCTGTTCCAGGAGGCACTCTAGACAGCGGCATTCCACAGGGCCCTGGGCTGGAACCCGGAGTAGAGGGTGGGCCCGGGTTCCCCCAAATTGTCCCAACTCCTGGTCAGACACAGGAGGAGTCGACCTGGACTGTGGGTTCAGAAAAACGGCCAAGCTGAGGGCTGCTGTGAAGCTCCAAGGCGAGCAAATCCGCCAATAAGCGCAAGACCCACCAAGGTAGAGCAGGAACTTTGTCACAATACATATGCAGTAGAATATAGGTATGTTTGTGTTCTTATTCAGCGTTGTATTTAGTATAAGCTCTATTTTTTGAATATGCGTGTGCATAATTCTTGAGTATATATTTTAAATGGACTGTAAAAAATTGTTGATAAATTCCTAACAATCTTTTCTTTATTTGCTTTTCCAAACATATTTCTCTTTTTCATTTTTTTTTTATGTTAGCAAAGTAATAAATCACATGTTAAATTCAAGGCTCTCTTGAGAGAATCTGTGTGTGAACCTTCTTTTGTGCTGCAAATTCTTTGTTCAGTAAAAGATGCATGATATTCAATTAAAAGAACTTTTCCTTACCATGCAACTGTGCACCTGAATCTGGGCCCAGTTTGATGATTGCATTTGAGCAGTGGTGTAACTTGGGCTGAGGGATTGCCATTTGGGAGGCACAGTATAGCATATGGTAACTACACACATTTTACTGTAGATTGAGCACTTTGCAGTGTTCAGTAACAAAGCAGCAGCTTCCAACATGCATTCCAAAGGCACAATATGAGACAACTGCCTGACACAGTTCCAGTCCTTCAGATGCACTCATGCTGCAACATCTTCTCCCTGCAAAACAGCTGTCTTTGCATCCTCTGTTATTGTTGTCATTACCCATACATAGGGACAGAGGATATAAAATACTGTCCATCTTCAAATGCTGACATGAAGAAAACTGATGTAATTGCCCAAAGTGAGGAGCCAGTGGTACAATGGACACTAAGTGTCTTGTTGAAAACAGAACAATCAAAGTTAGAAAATACCAATATTAGAAAAAAAGTAAACAGGAAGGTGACTGTGTGTAGATTTTCATTTTAAGCCAATGAAAATATCCTTATGCTCTAGGCCCCCCGGGTCTAACGACTCTGATAGTAGAAGTTGATGTATTAGTTGCAGTCAGCATTTTAGGACTTTGTTTTATTTAAAATGGTAAAGAAAGAATATCTATTGTTACATTATCTTTCGTTCCATGCTAATGCAACACAGTTTTTATGTCATACAGCTAGCTGTGGGACTGGATGGTGAGCAACTGTTATACTAGGAGCTAGAGATTTTTACAACTGTTTTCTAAAAGTGACAACGTTTACTTTTTTTACAGTATTTTGAAACCCATAATTGTCACATATATCATATTTGTTCTTCATCAGTGACTTTCACAGCAAGCCTTTCCTATTTGCAAATCAAAATAAATTTTCTCCTTTTTACTATATAATTAACACAAACACAACCTGACATTTGAAAATCGAGCTGTTTTCCTCCTCCTTGACACAGTGTGTTGTCAACTGACACCTGGCACTGACACCACCTGAAAGGCTTCTGGAACCAGAATTCAGCTATCAATTCTTTTCATGGTACATGAAGCAGAATAAGATGCATCTTGATTTGGCACAGCTACCAATACTGGTCTGGCAGTGCTGTCAGCAGTAAAAACCTGGTTGTGCAGAAAATTAAGAGGTTATGTGATTCAGAAAATCTATTAAAAGTAGTTATGTACAAAGCAAGGTCTAGCTTTTATAAAGCCATCAAAGCAACGTGCAGTTATTCATTTCATTTCATTTTAAAAGATCTGGTGACTTAGCACCACATTTATTGTGCCTGCTATTTATGTTTTTTTCTACTTCTGTTAATTTTATCTGTGTTATATCAACTGATTTCTACAGAAAGACAAACCTTTATCTTCAGTATGTGGACAACACTGGAGATTTAGTCATTTTCATAGAGAAACTGTTAATTAGATATTAAGCCCCAATTCATGAAAACACTTACACACGTGCTTTAATTCCCATGGTAGTCAATGGGATTTAGGAACACATTTAAAGTTAAACCCTCTATTAAATTCTGTCCTGAACAAGAATGCTTTCCTGAACTGAGGCCTTAGTCTGAAACTAAGATTCACTGAAATCACCGGGATTATTTTGTGGAGTAAGGTACTACTCAAACATGATTAAAGATGTCACAATGAATGTCTGAGGAAGTTTCTACCGGAAGGAAGGGTGGTAGAACCTGGCACAATGGAATTAACTCATGGATATGTCTCAAGGTGGCAGAATTGGGCTGTTGAATACTATATTCAAGTGAGAGGAAGAGTGATCCAGTGGTTACGGCGCTTATTTGGGATCCAGGTTCCCAAATTCCCTGCTCTGTGACCTCGGGCAAACTACTTAATCTCTCTATGCCAACATTTCTTATTTATAAAATGGAGAGAATGGTACTTTCCTAACCCATAGGGTTATTGTGGAGATAAGTACATTAAAGACTGAAAGTTGCTTAGATACTACAGTTAAGGGGATCATATAAATACCTTAAATAGACTTATGTCCATTGAAAGAAGCAATACATATTGTGTGTGACAAATATGAGATCAAGCTAAAGAATAAAACCTGTTCTGACATTTTTGTGGTCCCTGAGATTTATCTACAGTCCTTCTAGCGGAAGTTGCTTGCCATCTAGTAATGCTATTGTACATATAGGCCTTTTTCACTGCAAGATTAGTAATAAGTGTTTAGACTTAATGTCTCATTGTGACAATACTTGCCTCTGTGACAGGTAACAAAGTACATTCATTCCTGTTTAACAGTTTCCTTTTTTCTCTCTCTAACTCATTTCTCCTTTGCTATCGCATGCATTCTTGTGCTTTCATCTCTTCCTCGTAGCCATGCTAAAGTTAATGGTCGTGTTTATCTAATAATAAATAGGTGGGTACACTTCAATGTTTCCTTTTCTTAAAAAATGTACTTTAATTTGTTTGCTATTTCTTCAGTTCCTAGAAACAAAAATCACTGATGCCGTGTAGTATTGTGAAATAAGCAAAGACAATGCTTAGACTTCTAAACCCACCGGATGGTTTATAGTGGTTAACACATCTGCCACATGGATTTAGAGGCTGTGAATTCTCTCCCCAACTCAGATTCTTCTCTTAAACTTCATTCAAGCTCAATAAAGGCATAAGCAATACTATTTCTAATTGGCTGCAGTTAACAGAATTAGTTCAGGAGGTTGGTATAGCTACGCTTTACAGATATCCATATCCACACGCCTACTTACCTCAGATGTACTTTAGATAGTGCACTTAAGAGTTAAAGAAATATGCACAAGAAGTATTTTTCTGAAGAAAAATGAAAGTCTGTGCCTTTGGGTCAGCTTTCTTGTATACAAAGTAATGAAGTATAGACAAAAATAGAACACCTGTACATTTCAGTATATTAAAATCAGTTAAGCGATGTACAGAGTTGAGTGCTACAGAATCTAAACCACAAAACTGATATTATCATCATGCCATCATAAAATTAGCTTTTTAAAATATTTCCATAAGCAAGATTCCTTTCAATTTTTCAAGGATTTTTTTTTAAATTAGGGTAAGAATAAGAATGGGGTCGGTTTTTTGTTACTCCTGAACATAAGCACAAAAACTGGGCAAATACCTCAACAAGTTTTCTGTGAATATTTGCTTAAATGAAAAACTAATGTTCTTATCCTGTGCTTATGTCCCTTTTGTGTGCACTTGCAGTCAATATTTCAGTCTGCAGTTCTCAAGGAGAACCCCTTAGGTGCCTTTAAAAATCCCAGCTGTAGTGAATGAGTTTGCTGGCAGGAATGGTCACAGAAATAGCAAATTTTAAGTAAGTATTAGGCATTATCCACAGAAAATAAATGCTGAACTTGTAAACTTGAGCATCCACGCTAGTAACACCCATCCAGTCAGAGAACAGAAAAAATGCCATGTGAGCTGTGCGTCCATTCAAAACTAATAGCTTGAATCTTGGATATTGAGTACTCTCAATGGTTGGCTCAGGAATATTGTACAGATCAAGCATTATTAACAAATTATTTGGCAAATGATTCTGAACAAGTGAATTTAAAAAAAAACCCATAAATTGCTGGTAGAAAATTCACAAAGAGCCTAAGAAGCATAAATGTGGCAAACACGTTATTCACTATTAATTATTCACTCAGCTCTAGTAAATATATTGAACGTAGTTAAATTTGGCCCTCATTCAGCAACGTATTTGAGCACATAACCTAACTTTAGGCACCTGAGTAGTGCCATTGATCTCAGTAGTCTGTGGGACTATTCAGGTACCTAAAGTTTAGCCATGCTGAAATACCTTGCTGAATTGGGGCCTCTATGGGTATATCTATGCTGCAGCTGGGAGCAAGCACCCTTAATATCCATTTATACTCTTGCTTATTGCTGAAATAAAATATCTTGGGGAGGTGTCTACTGAAAGCTAAGGATTTAGTCAAATGAGATTAATGGGCATAAGATTCCAGTCATATTCCATGGTGTTTTTCTTAGTAATCATTTTCATAGGTATACTTTGTAAGATTAATATATGTTTGGGACTGACTATTGTATTAAAGCAATATTATGCACTGTACCTTTTCTGTCTTTCAATAATTAGCATGCAATTAATTTGCTGCTTGAAGATCAATTAGCCAGTTTTCTGTAACCTTTCCCTTATTTAAGCCACTTGAACTTGCAATTTGAAGAAATTGCAAGTCCCAATTATTTGAAAGATGCTTTTGCTTGTTTAACTGTTGCATTGGCAGCTCATGCTGTGCTGTTCATGTTTTGTAAACAATGTTTTGAAATACATTGTACAGAGTAAATAGGTATTTCTAGATTTTCTATTTTCTAATATGCTAGTTAAAAGTTTCAGGGATTGTTGTCTACAATTAATAAAATTGAATAATATGCTAGTACTTCATCCTGTAAATAAAAATGAAACAATACTTTAGCCTATTAAAATTAGTTCCCTGAATAAAAAAATACAGTAGATGTTTTATAACATTCCTGATTATACTATATTTATTACTGTAGCTAAATGGTTAGGCACCTGATCTTGCATACCCTTACTGCCAAACAGAGTGCTACAGGAATAGTCTCATTCAAAAGGAACTATTCATGAGGGGTGTGTGCAGGTGTGTCACTAGGCTTAGAGGTGTGTGCAGGATCTGGCAGTAAGAAAGGAGGGGAGTAATATGTTAATGTCAGAAGAGTCTATGTTAGAGAGGAGTCTGAGCCACATGATCCATTAGTGAGATGTGGGCTAGCAGTGCAGTGCCAATCCAGACCCAGATCTGAATGTCCACAAAGTTCAGAGGTGTTGGGATTTAAGGTTTGGTTGCAGTCAGTCTCCAATTTATATATTATTTAAATACATGTGAAAAGCAAAATGAATTGGTGAGTTTCATATTAAGCTAAAACTTTTTATATCATAGAAAATGAGTGATTGCTTTTTTACAAAAGAGAAGACAAAATTAATAAAGATGATAGAAGAGGAAGAGTTTAAATGTCACAATAATTCTATCATTACTATCATTTCTACTTTAAAATACAATTTGCATGCTGTGTATTTCAGCTTATTCTTGACTTTGCTCAGTGATTCATTCAGACATGGTTCAGGATTTGAGGTATGACCTCTGCAAGTTTTAGAAAAGAGAGAGAATGTGTAGGCCTTCCCAAAATTACATGATATCAGATCTATTGAAGGAGTGACCTTGGAATTTTTGCTATACTGTTTATGAATCCGCAGTTGGAAAAAAAGCACCTTTGAAACTAACATGTTTCTTTGCTACCCAGTTACATCTTTCCATGTCAAAAAGTTGAAAATGTATTCAAAATATGAATTGTATAGCTTACCTGTGACAATTCAATTGCATTACTAAAAGCATGGGAGAATACGTGCACTTTTTAGCAATTAGTTTTAGCATAATTATATGGCACTTTCCATTTTGCTCTGATTTTGTCATTCTACTAGAAGTGCCCAGTTAATGCCATGATGCATGCTCTTGACGTCAGAAGGCTGCTGTGGATGGAGTGGGAGAATGCTTTAGTAGTTGTTATGTAGCATGATGTATTTATTATCTCTGATCTTCTTTTATAACTCCTCTGTTCTCATTTCCCTTTTTCTTTCTGTTTCAATTACTTTGAGCAGCCTCAAGAAAAAAATACCAAACCACCACAATGAGTAAGTCCCCCATGAAGTAATGAAATGCTCACTCTCTCACAGTGTCATTTCATGCTTCTACACCTTAAACTCTGACCATTTTCTCCATTGGGGAAAATGTCAAGTTTAGGTGTCAAAACCACTCATTACTAACTAATCACTAGCATCCGATTGAGAAATAATTACTAATACATTCTGACTCAGTTTGCAGTGTTTGTTTGCAGAAAGTACCAGAATCATTAACATTTCCAGTTCAATGGCATTTATACATGAATTGTTTATTTTTTTAAATTATACTGCTTGAAAAAAATCGTTCTTGATACCAATATGGCTCAGTGTGCTGATAACTCATTATTTACCAACAGACTGGTGCACCAAGATGGAAGTCTGCCTGACCTAACCATGCTGAATTTAACTGCTGGCAATGCAAAGGAAGAGGATAAAAATCTGGAAGAGGATGGTGATGAAAGAATGGAAGAGAGAGATGGGGAGGGAGAGAAAGGTGGGGATGAAAAAGAGAAGGAGGAGGAAGATGAGGAAGAGGATGATGAATCTGATGTAGAAGAAACATCCGGTAGGCTTTGAGGCTGTAATGTTGCCCTTTGCTAACTTTATTTAACTTCAGTTGTAGGTTCATCTTTGATGAGCTCATCTTACTTTAGATAACATTATGTTTTCCTTTTAATTTTGACTAGAGTCTTTGCCAAAATAGTATGGATTGAGCAGATGGGTCCTTATTAATTATTCAACATGCTTCAGTCTCTTAAGATGAGAACAGCTACTGTTACCTACAGTATGCTTACAAAATGAAAAAAACCCTCCAACTTCTACTAGAGGAAAACTCTTTACAAAGCCGGTGATGGATGAGGAGGTTCCTGAAGCTCATGGAAAGCTCCTTCCATGTGAATTCCGAAAGAAATAATGCTTTTTTTTCTGTTGTATTGTATGCTTTTAAGGTTATTAATTTCAGTAAGTTCTCTGCTTCATTGTTCACGAACAGCATTAGTGTCACATTTTCAATTTTGAATGAGGAATATCTAACTGATTCTAAATGAATATAAAAATGCCGAAGTGTGGTGGTGGGTGAGGTTAACGCTGTTATCCTGGATATCCTTGGCTAAGACATAAATAATTTCTGTAATACAGTTATGAACATGAACCCTGCATGACTTAGATTAGCAAGAGAAATAACACGTCAGAGACAGGAAACTGAGGGAAGAGTGTTTAGAACAGAGGAAAATCAGATTGTCTGGAAATTGCCTTACATTAATTTGGGCAACTACTGTTACCATTATATGTAGAGCTCTGGAACAGAAATAGAGACTTGAAATGAGGCCTGCTCAAAGAAAAAATGCCAGTTTATATGCTTTAAGAAGCTTGCATCAGGGGATCAGAAACCACTCATACTTCCCTGGCTGGGGGATTCCATCCGCATAGAGGACTCCACAGTGGGTATAGCCCTGGCATACCCAGCTCCTGTGCTCTTTCTGTGCAGGCAAGAGCGTGATTGGAATATGCTGCACTCTGGCTTATCCCTAGCTGGTGGAAGTTCCCTTGGGAACACTGGCCAGCTGTTGAAAGTTAACCTACACTGGGGCAGAGCCAAGAATCAGGGAGCAGTAACTGACTCCCTGGAGGCCTCCGCTCTGTGCTGCGCTGAATGGATCTTGGCAGCAGCACAGAAAATATCTGTGACTGGATGTCAGGTACTTTTAGATTATATACACATATAATGAGTGTGTGTGTGTGTGTGTGTGTGAATACCAAAAAGCTATATCATAAAGTTGCGCTGTTAAGCACTCAAGTGTCTGGAGTTGCCAGCATTATTTTAGCAGGGTAATGCATACAGTCTTTGTTGCATGATTAAATGCTATTTCTCAAATAATACAATATTCCATTTAATTTTTTTAAATGTGTAGCATCTTGTGCCATATGTTATTCTCTGTATGCCAGATACAACTCATGACCATAATTTGCATGCCCTGCTTCATTCACCTGGCACCTTCAAAGTGTTGTTTTCCAGAATGGTTAAAAAAAAAATTGCACAATATAACATTTTATTCTTTGAGAAATAATACGTGATCATGTCGTTAAAGACTATCTTAATTCATACATGTGCATACAGAAACATACTTGCAAAGGAGATTTTTTTAAAGAAAAAAGAAGAAAACAAAATGAATAATTGGGAATTATGTGGCCAGAAACCCAAAAAGGCAGAATTTCATACAAAATATGCACTCAGTAGACAGTTCTTTGTCTTTTTAAATAAAAATAATTATCAGAAAACTTGACATCATTGTCTAAGGATCCCTGAAATGCCTCTGCATCTTCGGCCAATTTAGGCAACCACATCTAATTTTTCATCTCCAGTACTGACTGTGCAACCATTCTTACTGTATGTTAGGTCCTCATTCATCTACATTTTACTAACCCAATCTTCAGACTTAATTCTCATTTTAAAAAGTGGTCTCACTCTACTTCTCATCAAATAGCATTGTGAGCTAGTGAAGTCTCAGATTACTAATGCTTGATCCTGCAAAGTGATCTGACTAGCAGACCCTTTTCCAAGATGGAATCCATTGACTTCAGTGACACAGGCATATGAGTCCACATCCATGGATCAGCTTGCAGGATCAGGTCCTAAGACTATATTGTTTATATAATACATATGTACTACATAATAGGTACCTTATAATGAATTATTACAATTAGTTAAAACTAAATTATTACTAATATTACCAGATAACTTGCGTCCAAGAATTTTCAAAGAGCTGGCTGAAGAACTAACTGGATATTTAATGCTGATTTTCAATAAGTTCCAGAAGACTGGAAGAATGCTAATGTTGTGCTAATTTTTAAAAAGGGTAAATGGGATGATCCAGATAATTATATGCCTGTCAGCCTGACTTCGATCCCTAGAAAGATAATGGAGCAGCTAATATGGGACTGAGTTAATAAAGAAATAAAGAAGGGTAATGCAACTAATGCAAATCCACATGGGTTTATGGAAAATAGATCCTGTCAAATTAACTTGATATCTTTTTTGATGAGATTACAAATTTGGTTGATAAAGGTAATAATGTTGATAAAATATACTTAGAGTCCTGTACGGCTTTTGACTTGGTACCACATGATATTTTGATTAAAAAAACTAGAACGATATAATATTAACAATACACACATTAAATAGATTAAAAACTGGCTAACTAATAGGTCTCAAAATGCAATTATAAATTTTCATCAAGTAGGTATGTTTTCAGTGGAGTTCCACACCAATTGGTCCTTGGCCCTATGGTAGTTATTATTTTTAACAATGACTTGGAAGAAAACATAAAATTATTACTGATAAAGTTTTCAGATGACACCAAAATTGGGGGAGTAGTATTAATGAAGACAGATCTCCGATTCAGATATAGATCACTGGTAAACTGGGTGCAAGCAAACAATATGAGTTTTAATTCAGCTAAATGTATACATCTAGGAACAAAGAATGTTGACCATACTTACAGGATGGGGGACTCTCTATCCTAGGAAGCAGTGGCTCTGAAAAAGACTTGTGGGTCATAGAGGATATTCAGGTAAACAGGAGGTCCCAGTGTAATGGTGTGGCCAAAAGAATTAATGTGATCCTTGGTTGCATAAACAGTGGAATCTCAAGTAAGAGTAGAGGGGTTATTTTACCTCTGTTTTTGGCACTGATGTGACTGCTGCTGAAATGCTGTGTCCAGTTCTGGTGCTCACAGTTCAAGAAGGATGTTGATAAATTGGAGAAGGTTCAGAGAAGAGCCACAAGATTGGTTAAAAGATTAGGAAACATGCCTTACAGTGATAGACTCAAATAACTCAGTCTATTTAGCTTAACAAACAGAAGGGTAAAGGGTGATTTGATTACAGCCTGTAATCTACATGAAGGAACAAATGTTTAATAATGGGCTCTTCTGCCTAGAGGAGAAAGATATAATGGGATCGAATGGCTGGAAGTTGTTGCTAAACAAATTTCAGACTGGAAATAAGGTATAATTTTTTAATGGTGAGGGCACTTACCCACTGGAACAATTTACCAAGGGTTGTGGTGGATTCTTCATCACTGATAATTTTTAAATCGAGATTGGATGTTTTGCTAAAAGATCTGCTCTAGGAATTATTTTGGGAAATTCTATGGCTTTTGTTATACAGGTGATCTGACAAGATGATCACAGTGGTCCCTTCTGGTCTTGGAATCTATGAATTACGCTAGTGCCTAGAGGCCAACTCGCAAGGCATGTGCAAACATAGAATAAGAGAGAATCCTTGTCCCAAAGATCGTACAGACTAAATAGACAAGACAGTCAAAAGTCCAGGGAAAGGGATAGAACACACAGGCAGAGAGAACAGAGTGATGGTTGGCCATGTTAGTGCCATGATTTTTTTTCCCCATTTTTTTTTGTTGTGTTGTTGTTTTGGAATTAAACTTCTTTATGTGAGTTTAAGTTAGGAGAGTATTTGCTACCTGGAAAAATAAAGGAAAGGAGAGGGGACATTGAAGGGAGGGGAAACTGTAAGGGGAACAGAGCAATGAAGAAGGAAGGAAGGGGAGAGGAGCCTGAAGGGCAGGTGGAGTGAAGTCGAAGTGAAGAGACTAAGGGAGGAAACAGGACGGGGTTGGAGCAAACAGCCAATCAGTACAGGGCAGAGAATATTCAGAGTGAAAACTGTGGACCGCCTTGTCGTGACATTATTGCTGTCTGACAGGCCCTGTTTAAACTGCTTCTATAGCTGTTTCTGCCACCTTCCATCTCTGTCTGGCTCCTCCCTTCAGTTTTTTCCTTTCTGAACCAAGGATATGGAACCTAACAGTGTCCAAGCGGGGGTCACTCTCACATAATGCTGGGCCTCGGGAGCACTGGGGGCTTGCCTCTGGCTGGCCCCATCTTTTGCCTTCCTTTTCCTGGGTGCCACACAACCTGCTTAAACTGCTCCTCGCTGGCTTACATCTGTGACTGGCTCCTCCCTGCAAATTACATTTGTCAAAATAAATGAACAAAGTACATCTGTGATGCTACCTCTATGTTTTTTCATCAAGTCCTTCATTTATTGGTTAGCAAAATATGGTATTCTACGATGTAGTGTGTTATGTGTATGAAACAGAGCAGTACTAATGCTAAGTGTACAATGAAGGTAACTAAAAAGTTGTATTTCAAGCAAAACTCTGCAGGAGGGTTTGCAGACTCTGTTACAGTATATTGCTCTTCCCAGAGGACTGTGTAAACATCTGAGAGACTTGTGAACATGTTTTTAATCATCTCAGTGGCATATTCAGCTTTTAGAAAGCAGTGTTCGGCCATATGCTAGCGTCAGGCAGTCTTTTCCATTTCCACATTGTCACTCTCAGCAATACCATTTTCAGGGTTGGAATGTGATTCTGCTCAAAGCTGACATAAAGATTTGCTAGGAAGAAATATCCTCTGTGAATTACTTTCATGTTTACACTTTTCTGAACAAAATAGGACCATATCCACTAAATATAATCAAGCTAAACTGATTTAGTTCTACAAGATCAATGGGTGGATTAAGGCAGGGATCCATGGATTCACAGATTCACAGATCCAGGCCCTGGGTCTGCAGGGGCCATTGGATGCACAGTCAGTGCCACAAGTACTTTTGTAGTGGGTAGTCTTTGATTTGTTGTTGTGGTGGGCCCCATTTTGTCTTAATCCACCATTGAAAGTCAGAGCTGATTTTACTCACCTTAATGTCTCTTGTTTTGGGGCTGAGCGGAAAAAATCCTGTCTTACTATTTTCTACTGGATAGAGAAGTAACAAAGGTAAAGAGAGTTTTTCAGTGACTCCGTTGGGTTTGTCTTTGCAGATTTAAAGAATAAGTGGCACCTGGTGATCGACCGCCTCACAGTGCTATTCTTGAAATTTCTGGAATATTTTCATAAACTGCAAGTTTTTGTGTGGTGGCTTTTGGAGCTGCATATTATCAAAATTGTTTCTTCATACATCATCTGGGTCACAGTGAAAGAGGCAAGTAAAACCCGTGCTGACAAAATCTCATCCTTCTATTGACGCTTATTGGCTCCACAGCAAACACTTGGGCCAAACCTCATTCCAACCTACTTCTTAGGTGCAGGCTTAACTGCGGTTCCATGGTCCAGCTGGGCTCTCCAGATGCTGGTGCCTAATCAAACCCTGAAGTCCCATCTTAAATTAAAGTCATCAGTTGGGAATGGGGACCCCTCTCACACAGCAAATCTCCAGTCCTCTCCACCAATGAAGATACTACGGTTTTTGTTTAATTTTTTGGGAGCCAACGTCATAGTCCCTCTGTCTTTCTCCATCCCACCAGCAGCCCCTTCAGATGACAGGGAGAACTCTAGTGTGCCTAGAAAATAATTTGTGAGAGTCCCCTACCACAAAAATCAACCTTTCTACCAACCCGAACAGTCCACTGTGTACACCTTGTTGCTGCAAAAAAAAGCAGGGCCACAGGTTTGGCCCTTTTTATTTAAAACCATACTTGTAGAGTGAGCATGCCACTGTGTGGGTTAGAGGTGCTAATAGTATTTTGAAGTTAGAATTGTTTCCAACCTAATTGATTACTATGTTTTCCACCAGCCACTAACTGCTGTTGAGTTTCAGTGACATCCATGTCTAGCATCACATCGAGAGCTGTTTTAAATGTTTATTTCATTACTTTTCTTAGATCTTGTTTTCGGCCCTTTGTTTTGAAGGATTTTTCAGTGACTGTTGTGTGTGAGGTATTGTAGGTGTAAAAGGTCACGTTAAGGTGCCTGGTCATCTGGCTGCTCTGTGTAATTTCTGTTTTGTGTTTTCAGGTGTCTCTGTTTAACTTTGTGTTTTTGATTGCCTGGGCTCTTGCTTTGCCATATGCTCAATTCCGCCCATTGGCATCAAGTGTCTGCACTGTTTGGACATGTGTGATTATCGTCTGCAAAATGTTATATCAGCTCACATCTATTGACCCTAGCACCTTTTCCAGTAACTGTACAATGGTGAGTAGTAGTGCATATTAAGAGTTTAATTGCTAGGTACTTCAGTGAAAGGACAGAGCCAAAGGAAGCATGTGAAGTGTTCAAAGCTGCGGTTCAGCTGATGTGTTTCTGCTGAGCCATCATGATTCCTGCCCCCAGTGGCTCCAAAGAGATTCTAACGAAAGAACTTATCGTTGTTTGCGTTTTAGCCTACAGAAAATGAAACTGACATAGGCAGTGAAGAACTGAAGACGTCGCTTCTCTACAGCGCACCCATTGATCCTACAGAGTGGGTTGGATTAAGGAAGTCTTATCCCCTGCTTGTATACTTAAGGGTAACTGCTCTACATTTTTCTGTGTTTAGACTGACTGCCTCTTACTCCCGATGAACTTTTCAATACCCTTGAAATGGATCATGTGCCCCCACCCCCCTTGCGCGCACAATACATCATTCCATGAATTGTGAGCTGTGGGCAATGGAGAAAAAAAAATGTGATGTACGGTTAGGGGGCAAGTGCCCTGCTATGCATGATTCCTAAGCCCCTAACTCAAGGAAATTCCATGCAATAATTCAGATAAAATGCACAGGGAACCATAGCTCTCTTGCTATGGATTAAAAGAATGTCAAGAAATTTGATTTACAAGATTTGTAAGAAGTAACAACATACATCCACTTCAGATATTATAAGATCTAAGATAAATGTTCGATCTGGATAATTGTCTCTGGCTGCCAGCACATTTTACCTGCAATCATTTTTTTAAAACTTTTATCCCATAGAAACAACTTGGGAAAAATGTTGTGGATTTTTTGGGAGGTGGGGGTAGGGAGAGGGGAAACAGCAATAATCCTGTCTTTATTCTAGTTTTTGTTCTGTTTAATGCAGGCAGGGTGTGTTTTGTTACTTTCATTTGGATTAAACATTTCTTAGTTTTACTCTATGTCAGCACCCGAAGGCTATCCTGCATGACTCCCTTAGGATTAGAGAGTGTCTGAAGTCCTTTACTTAACGATTTAGGATAAGAAGTTCTGCATGGAAAATGGCTGAAAAAATCATAGTTGAGTCACTGCACATTTAGATTATGTCACAGGTTTAATGATCACTTGTGACTCCTCCTGAATTAAAAAAAACAATCAGTGACTTACTTCACCTACCTGTATGGTACCTTCATTGGCCTGCAGATTTATGTTCGTTCTGAACACAGTCATCAGATTAGTTGAAATTAGAACTACACCCTTCTGCAGAGGGTAACTTTCTCAGTGCTGATCCAGCCCATTTCAGGTTCTCTGCTTCCTATCTTCATGTGATTTCAGCAAGACAAGGCCAAAATTTGGGACAGATGCACAGTTTCTGGTCTTTTATCACATAAAAGATACTGTCTGGCAGTACTTAATAGTGCTGCTGTTCCCTCTTGCACCAACACAGGCAAAGTGAACAGCCCACATAAATTAGGGTTATGAAAACAACACCAAAAGAACTCTATCAAGCACTTCCATTGTTTCATTGGTGAGAACGGAAGTCAGTGGCCTGGCAGGTATTCGAGTATGAATTCAGAGTCTCAGTTGTCAAGACACCTGCAGTGAGGAACAGTAGGTCTCTCTACCCCCTCCAGAGGGAGGAAAGAAATTGTGGAATTGGTAAACCCTTGATGCATTTTATGACTCAAGTAAACTTCCCATTTTGAAATTGAATCCCAGAACATTTTGGTATTGCAGCAATATTAAACAATAACATCCACGAGAATATTCATTGATTATGCTTCTCAGAAAATATTTCCAATTCCTCATATTTCAGTTTTGATTTTATCTTCTTTTTATTGCTTCTTTTGTAGAATAACTTACTGATGCTGGCTATTCTGGCCTTTGAAGTTACAATTTACCGGCATCAGGAGTACTACAGATGTCGAAATAATCTTACTGCACCTGTGACTAAAACCATTTTCCATGACATTACAAGATTACATTTGGATGATGGACTCATAAACTGTGCCAAGTATTTCATAAACTACTTCTTCTACAAGTTTGGGTTGGAGGTAAATAACATATTCATGTGGTTAAGACAATGATTCCCAACCTGGTGTTGTTTTGTTTTGTTGGTCCCAGTTAGAGATGTACTGACAACCTGCTGCTTCCTCATCTGCTACTCTCACTAGGGCCAGAGTTGTCTGGGCACAGTTACCACCATCTCTTCCCCCTCTCCATCTTCCCCTCCCCATGCTTTTTCTCTTGTTTTTCTCTTTTCTTTTCAATATACTTGTTTCTCATTCCTGTGCTCTGTTTCTAATTCACCAAAAGGGAAGGCTGTGTGCTATTCAGGGAGGGATTGGCAAGGGGCATCCACTGATGTCACCCACAACTGAGTTGAGTACCATGGGAGCAGAGGAGAAAAGCGGCAGCTGGCAGGCTACTGTCTATGGCTAAGTACATGTTAGCTGTTCTTGCACCTGTTGCAGGATCTGGGAAAAGAATCACTCTTTATTTTAGTATTATTTATATTTTGGTAGATCCAATAAGCTTGGTTCTGCACTGTGCTTCTTGGCTTCAAGAGCCTACTACTTAAATAGACAAGATAGACAAAGCATGAGCAGGGAAAGATACAGGGGAAGTGATTTTCCCAAGGTCACGTGGCAGGTCAGTGGCAGATCTGGAAGTAGAACCTGAGCTCCTGAGTCTCAGGCCAATGCTGTATTCCATGGATAAAGTTGCTCTGCTTTGCCAGCCACAGCACGGGTAAAGGGGTAGGGCAGATCTGAGGTTAGACAACTTCCTTCCTCCTTCTGTATCTCTTGTTTGGCCTGCATCTCTGTCTAGCTCCCACCTTCCCTCTGCCTTCCCTTCCCTGCCAGTCTGGCACCAACTCATACAGACAAAGCAAAATTTAATCCATCTTGAAAATAAAGTAATGCTGAGTAAATACCTCATAAAACACTTATAAATATTTGCTTGAATAGAACAGTGAATTTGCTTCAGCTATGTTCACACCCTTTTGTGTTCAATTTTCATTAATATTCAAATGAAGAAAATTAGTGTAGTGGCAAGAATGTTTGTGTAAAAGGCAAGTTTTAAGCAAACTTTAGAGAATACCTGCAGAAAGCAAGTTTTCAGCTCATGTGCATAACTATTTGCAGTGGAAACCCAATTATAAGTTACTGTGTGCCTATGAGTCTAATCAGAACTAACCAACATCTCTCTCAAATTCCAAATAGTCAATGTAATGAATGGTTAACAAGCAATCCTTGGGAGCAATTCACCAAAATTAGTTAGCCACAAAAATTGAGACCATCACTGTTTGAGAGCAGTTCCTGGAGAGAGAAATGATGAAATTCATTGACTAAATGATTCACTATGAATTATTCACTGAGTTCTAAAACAAAGTGTTGCATCATAGCATCACCTAAAGGCACTGTTTTAAGTGCAACCAGAGAGTAGAAACTACCCTGGGAAAAAGAGCTTCAAAAATAATGGCGAACCACTTCAGAACAATTGAGCTGTTTGTCTATAGTAAACAAAAGTTACATTGTCACAAAGCTTATTCTTTTTATGTGGTTCCCACCTGAGGATGCCCTCCAGTTATTATTTTTCTTTATGAGTTCATTCTTTTAACATCTGTAAGTAGTATCAAAATATATGTCTATGTAACATGCATTGCTTGGCAACAATTAAGCATTTCCAATCTAGGCTTTATCATGACTACGTTCTGGCCATTTTCTATCTTTTTAGTAGCATGAAATGGAAACTTGCTTTACAGTTGCATTGAGATAGTCAGTGATGATAGAAAATTACACAAAGTGTGGGGTGGTGGAGAACTATTAACCATGTCAGAGGCTTAGTATGTGAAGAGCTACACTCAGCTACATCAAGTTTCCAAGAATCAGATTGAAAAGCTAATTTATTATATCTGCCCTGACCATCTCAGGGGTTCTAAGTGCTGCATATTTTTCTTTACTTCTTCCACAGACCTGTTTCCTACTGTCAGTTAATGTAATTGGTCAACGAATGGATTTCTTTGCCATGATTCATGCCTTCTGGTTAATTGCTGTATTATATCGACGTAGAAGAAAAGCTATTGCAGAGATCTGGCCAAAGTACTGCTGTTTTCTGGCATGCACCATTATATTCCAGTATTTCATTTGTATTGGCATTCCACCTGCTCCTTGTAAAGGTAGGGTCACTTACCTTTTATGGTCATTTGCTCTTACAGGAAACTGCTGGAAAACTGACAGATACTTTAAAGAAAATGAAGTAATTGTTATAAACTATTGATTACATTTTTGCGTGCTTCCTTTTATTGTAGACTATCCATGGAGAAGCCTTAATGCCAACTTCAACTCCAACATCATAAAGTGGTTATACTTTCCAGACTTCATTGAAAGACCAAATCCTATTTTTCTTGTCTGTAAGTATTTTAGCACAGGCTATGAAAGTTGTTTACTTTTCTTTGGTTTCAAATCATGCAAAAGTATAATACAAAGGTTTTATTTGTTTCGAAGAAGCAGCAATACAGGGCATTATTATTATATTTATTACTTAGATCCTAGAGGCCTTATTCATGGAGCAGGACCACATTGTGCTAGGCATTATACCAACACAGTACATTGAACAGTAATTGTGTTTTTATCAAATCAGTGCATTCAAATGTTCAGTAATTTATGCAACTGGTACATTCTCATTTTTCTTTAATAAAGCTGAATAAAAAGTGATGAATTCTGTTTCCTCCCTTTAATCTCCTTCTCAGAAAAAATCATGGAAGTGGAATAATCAGGTGAAAATGAAATGTAGCAACAAATGTCAAACTTGTATTACAGTGCATCATAGATAATGCAATCTCCCAGGGATCATTGTAAGAACTACTGTGCTGTGATTAGATGATAACATTTCACCAATAGCATTCAGCATTCCACACCATAGAACTGAGATAATGGCTGAAGTTCTCAAGGTGATATCTTCATTTTTCCAGACGATTTCATGTTGCTGCTCTGTGCATCCTTACAAAGACAAATGTTTGAGGATGAAAATAAGGCTGCTGTGCGAATCATGGCTGGGGACAACGTGGAAATTTGCATGAACCTTGATGCAGCGTCATTTAGCCAGCACAACCCAGTTCCCGACTTCATTCACTGCCGGTAATGTCGGGTCTGGAATATTTTGAAATTACAATGTATCTTCTTTTTAAAATTCTCTGTTTTGAAGGTATCTGTAATAGAAGAGTGTTTGAATTTTGGCTTCCAACTCTATTGAGATCTGTCTTAATTTTTCCCATTTTACAACATGCAACTTGTGCAGCAGTAAGTTATTTATCTTCCATAAGAAATAGCTGGAAAGAGTATATGGTACTACCTAGGAGGCTCTTTCCAACACACGTGAGCATGTTTCTGAATATCTCGGTGTAGCTGGCCCACTGATGGTGGTCTCGATGGTGCCATGCGGAAGGTACAGATCAACAGCATTGCAGGTGGAGTTCAAGGAGGGATTGTGCCTGAAGGAGCAAAATCCTTTCCTAGGTTTCCTGGTGAGTACATGGTGGTACACCTGATCTATTCCTTGTCTTCTCTGCCCCATGCACTTGTGCGAGACCGAGTTAGTCTGGCCCTGTCTCTGTATCTCTTTAATACCACAAATGTATTTATCAGTTAATTACGTCTTGCTGCTTTGCTCAAAATTGAAGAAGGTCATACACTATTTAAACAAACAAAAATCTTCTCTGGAAAAGAAGAAGATTCTTCACTCAACCCAAATAAGAGGACATAAAGCTGTCTCATATGGACAGCTGAGGATTTCCCCTGCATGACACCCCCTTCCCACCCATGGACTTTGGAGGTCTGTTTTGGTGGTGTGGGGTAAAAAAAAGAGGTGGAGCCAGAAACACACTGCACCAGCCAATCTTTGGCAGATGGAGCAGCTCTTATATAACGACTTCAGCTGTTGAAAATTAGAGCAGCTCATAATCCTGGAGCCATCTTCTCCCTGCTCCTCAACTGCTGCGTGTGTAAGCTCAGCACAGCTGGCCATCTAGCCTGATGCATTTCTGAAGGTTTGGTGCAATATTTACAAGAATATCTATGGGGGAAACTTCATTAGTGTCTACGTTTTGCCCCCTAGATGTTTGTTGTGACTCAGAAAGCATGTTATGCTCAGATGGCTGAGAGGGAGCAGAGTGGAAAGCTGTTTTTAATTGATAAACAGTTATTATTTCACCAGACACTCATTGTAATTGCAATCCCTTCATAAAATCTTTAAATGAATCCTATTGTTTCTACTGGAACCTGTGGCCAAAGCCATGAATAGCTTTGAAGGTGAACTCACTGAAATGCATTCAGCCGACATGCTTATTCGGAGATTACAGCACTTGATGCGCTCTGCTGCCATTGAGAACAGGCAACTGTTGATAGCAGGGTGAGGCCTGGTGCCACCATCTCCCTACTAGATATTGCACCAAGTGGAGATGATTTCCTGGAGTCTTAGCAGCAGCCAGAAATACCTACAGAAAATGTCTGCCACAGTGGGGCTTAATTGGGAGGAATGAAGGGAAGGGAGTGGCGTTGACTCCAATACTACAGGAAGAGTATTAACTTCCACTTGTTGCCACAGCTGCCACATCCACTTTAGCTCTGAGCTCATATTTGAGGAGAGTGCACCGGAGATGAAGATGGTTCCAAGCTGTCATTGAGTTAGGGGTTCCGGGCAAGAGCATCACTGGTGAGAATGCCAGGGGACAGTGCGAACGTGTTGTGATTTTCCTGATTTGGGTCAGAAAAATCACTGTGACTAGTGTCAATGAATCTACATTTAAAAGTTCTCTTCAGAAATAAAAGGGCTAAAGACTCACTTCGCTTGGCATTTTTTTTTAATGTCCACAGGAGTCTGGTGGACATGCTTATCACTCCAGGGAATAACTGCCCAACTGCACCTTTTCCCATCATAACATCAGTCCTTTGCACTGCAACTCGTCAAGCTCTTTCAAATAAATTTCATTTTAGCTTTTTTTGGAAAAGCTGGTTTTAGCAGATTTTCAAAAAGTAATGATTGACTTATTTTTATCTAAATCAAGAATAACTTGTTCGAATCCCAGAAATATGGGAGAAATTGTCTGCTGGCAAAATATGAAGAACCTGCAGCACAAAGAATATACTCTGAAGATTTTTGGATAGGAGACAAAATCAGACTTTTATTGGGAAATAAACCTCAACCTTAACTGGACTGCTGCCTTTCCATAAACTTTAGGACCAAATTCTCCCTTTTGAGTCATACGTAAAATTCCTTAAAGTCCTAGGTCACTCTATGTATATTCAAAGGCGGTATTTGGGATGTGATGAGAAAATAGACTCTTATATAGGTAATTAACTGTATACAGCCTTTTCAGAAAAGGTTTGCTGCTCACATTTATGGGGTGGCAATGTTGTCGCTGGAAAGTATTGGATATGAAAAACAGAAAATCCAGAGAAACAATCTGTTTAATTGTGTTAGGGTGAACACACAAGTTTGTGACTATATTTGTTCTGGTTAAGCATGGAAATGTATGTGCCTTTTATATTTGATGCATTTATGTTGTGTAGATCTGTTGTGTAGAGACTCATGTTGTGTAGAAAATAAAATGAAAAATAAGGCAGAAAAAGGAACAAGAAAAGGAAACTTGTTAGAAAACTCAGGGACCAAATAAGCAACAGCAATCTCATGACTTTCACGTTGGTTACTATATTTTACCAGGGTATACACTACATGGAGACTCTGAGACTAAAATATCAACTGGTTTAGCCATATTTAGAGATTCTGAGTTTTGAATTGTTCATTGTTCATAGACTGGAGTAACAGCATGTTAGTTGGACTGAGAAAACTCTTGTATTTGATAAAAGTTCCTCTCTTTAAGATAATAGAGCCAAGCATTTTGAGAGGCGTTCAGGTAACCTTGACGCATATCTATTGGCTATGTCTCATCGTTGTTTGCAAGAACGAGGGGCTTATCTTCCTTTAATCTAAAGTGAGCTAGTGCCTGGTCTTCAGAAGTTTTGAAAGTAGCAGGTCCCACTGACTACAGGAAGACAGCGCATGCTGATGAGCAGAATGAGGAGGTCCTTTTTTCTAGTATCACTGAGAAATTAGAATAAGCCCTAAAACTAAACAAATTAGATTTACTTAAATCAGTCATAGTCAAAGAAGTGACTGTAAAAATGACATAATATCATGCCAGTTTTTCTCCCTATAAGACTTCCATGTAAAATATGCTCAGCTCACAAGTCAGAGAGATGATTTTTGTAGCTGTCAGTATTGCAAATTCACTCTGAGATCTAAAGATCAAGCTGTGTCCTTCCTCACTGGTGTGTCATCACTAGTAATAAAGATTCTGAATTGTAATTTAGCTGACCGTTTATTCTGAAGCAGAACAGAGTCATATTCCTTATAGCTACATTACACCTGCCATGCAAACTGGAAGTTTTCAAATCTTTTCTAAAGCCTCATGGCTGACTTTCTAGATAGATTCTCTTCTTCCCTCTTTCTGAGCAAGTGAACCTCTAAAGGAAGGAGAGCATCATGGTGGATTGGTTCAGCATGAGCTATCTATTAATAACAAGAATAGTAATGGTCCCTACCAAGAGGAGCTTGGACCTCCATGTGTTTCAGGACATTTACTATAATCTGGGACACCTATTTGAATAGCTTAGCTCCACCCTATCAGCAAAACTCTCTCCTTCCTGCTCATGATCATTTGAGTCTAAGACTCTGGGGACATGATATATTTTCATGGGATCCTACCTCTGATTCTGGAGAAAAGAACATTCATGAAAGAGTGTTGGCCCCTGCAGTCCAACCACCCTTGGTTTTAGAACCTAAATCTGTGATTGCAATGCATTCCTAGAAATGCCCTATACGACTGCATTGAAGGTTTGATCCTGTTCTTCAGCCCGGAATGCTTACACTGACCGTGTGGAGATTGAGCAAGGCAGATAGACTGCTAAAGGTTTTTCCAAGGAGTTTAGTGACTGAGTCATGCTCAGAGGCAGTCAACTTCTGTCCTTGATATACTTTCCCCCCATTCAAGTTCCAAAAGAAGTTGAATGTGCATTCCCGTTCCCATGTTCTGTAATGGACCTGTACTTGAATTTTCATATGCTCACTGAGTCCAGTTCAAAACTCAGGCAGTTTTATGTTAATTAGCCTTTTGTTTACCTGTGCTGTGTCCCAGTCCTCCTTTGCTGTATCAGAGAAAGTGTCTTTCAGTGTGCAAAGCAAGTTCTGGAATTGTACTGATCTCTCACTCAGAGTTTTGTAAAAGTTAACAGTTTCTGTCTTTCTAAACAGAAATCCATCAAGAGTTCAGTGTCATGACAAGATGCCATTTTTACAATCACTTCTCTGACTACGACTGATTTGTTCAAGACTGTATGCCATTAACCAAATGGCTATATGCAAAATTATTAAATTCCATTCTGCAGTAGCCAATTTCATTGATTCATAGTGCAAAAGCATCTGCTTCTGAAATTTATAAGGTGGCCACCTGTTCATTTCCTCATAACTTCCTCTTGAACTACCAGATTGATCTGTACTTGTTTATTAATGTTACTTTGCATTAGATTCTCCGAGAGTAGTTATATATAATAAGTTCCTAGCCCTCCTCCCCTCCCTCCAAAGGCCTAGCTTGTGATATTTGCTAATTGTAATTGTTGCTGGGTAGACTAGGAGAAGGAGGACATACATCAAGGGAAGATTACTCACCAGTAATTCTGTTTGTTGTAGTCCTCTTTTCCTGTGCTACATCTCTTCTGCTCCCCTCAAGAAGTGCTGCTTGGTGTAGTTTTTCTTTGATCTTATTATATATGTCTTTGTTCTGGAAGTCTTGGATTTGACTAATCTTTTGTCTTCTTACTCCTGGTTGGTAAAGCCACAGGCTTCCTTGTTTTGGATTTGCTGTTTAGAAAGGAAGAAGAGAAGACTAGGGAAAAGAGAATTGCTGTTGAGTAATTTTCCCTTAATTCCCTTATTTTGTAAGTGTGGGATCAGATTATGCCCAGTGTATCAGTATGTGTTTATTTTCTTGAACCCAGAAATGTGTTAGTTGCCTTATAGAACAAATAGCAGACACAGTCCCTGCCCCAAGGAGCTTGCACTCTAAATTAGGTTTTACAATCTAAATTAAAACTATATTGACTTGAGTGCCTATGTAAACTAGCTTAACACCAGGGCTGAATTTGGCCCATGTCCTCTCTGTTGGGGCATTTCACATTTCCAAAGCATTGTATATGAGGTTTTAGTCAAACATCTCTCATTGCTGTCCATAAAGTGTCACATAGCAAAAATCTTACGTAACAACCTGAAGATTTTCTTCTGATTTTTCTCCTCTGAGGAGACACTTGACAGTAACTGTTCCAGTAGGCATTGCTAAAAGGCCTTTTATTACAGTAGGAACAATTGGAAAAAAGAACTTGTAACCAAACCAATTACTTAACTTTCCTGTTTCTGGAAAAGTACTTGAGATCAACAGTGACAAATGAATCTGAAGGAAGAGATTTTCTGAAAGTCCAGATTTCACTCCACCCCCAGATTTCTCAGGGGATGCACAACTAAGCCTGCAGGAAACCACAAGTGAAGAAATTTTAAAAAAACAAAGCAAAGCCAAAGAATAAAAAGTAGGGACTTTCTAGAGGCAAAGCCAAGATGGCTTTACAGGCGGATCTCTGTTCCCACTGCTTGTGATGTGGGAAAATCCCAATTTAGAAGAACTCCTGTGCAAGAACCTAGAAATGGACAGAAAAAATACGGAGATATCAAAATATTTTAGCCCCTAACACCAGGACCTAATACCAGCATCTAACACAGAGCTGGCCCCTGTAACGCCTGCAACCAAGGAGACAACAGCAGGTGAAGCAGCAGACCACTCTCATAGGCAGATGTAATGCATTCTTTGGAACCACACATATTCTGACTTAGGTTAATGACAGAGGATCTGCAAATCATCATTACAGACTTCAGCTCAGACTTGCATGAAATAAACATTTTGTTGCTAATAAAAAGGGTTTTAACAACCAGTGCAACTTTGGATTTATGGTCTAAAGCAGGTGGAGACAAGAAAAAAGGAACTTACTGATAGAGGAGATGAACTTGAAAAACAGGAGAAGAAAAAATACCATTAAATGTAGGAAAGGCCCTGAAGAGATCTTATGAACTAGGTCCAATTAATTTTTCTTGCATATCCTGGAAGAAAACATGGATAATCCAATACAAATAAAGCTTATTTTTGAAAGTGCTAATATAGCTAAAGAGAAAGGGAAAATCAACAAATCAGCGTTCAGCAGAGTGAAGGGGACTGCAGGGTTCAGTAGGAAAAAGGAGGAGAATGTGGGGTTCAGGAAGAAGACTGGGGGATAGAGCCATATGGAGGGCAGAAAAGGAGATTGACAGGGATGCAAGGAAACATCGGGGTGCATTAGAATAGGGCCAGAGAGGGATGATATGAGGAGTAGGAGACTCTGACGTGAAAGTCTTGGGCATAGGTAAATATACACGTGTGCCTATGGAACAAGAGACTGGTCAGGAAACATAAAGAGATGCGGGGGGTGACCTGAGTGAGAGGCAGCAAGAGAGATGGGGAGGGGAGAGCTGAGAACATGGAGAGGGAAGCAGGAGAATGATGTGGGAAAGGGGGCAAAAGAGAGAGACAATTCCATTAGCCTGAAGAAGCATTGAGACATCAGTTACTGCTACAGGACACCAACATCTTGGCTGTCCTTAGTGGGTGCAGAAGAGTCTGACTGGTGTATCATAGACTCTGAGGCCAGAAAAAAACATTGTGATCATCTAGTCTGACCCCCTGCACTTCACAGGCCACACAGAACCTCTCCCACCCACTCCTATAATAGACTCAGAACCTTTGGCTGAGTTATCAACAGAGCTGGTAACCTTGCTTGAAGCTCCAAAGTACTAATTGGGCAATAGCATCCTTGTTTCAAAGGGGATGATGCTATAATATTGATGCTGACCAGTGTCGTCATGCTGAGAAGTCTTGGCACCAGGATGCCAGCAGCTAAGCCGCAACATCACATAGTCATTCAGACTATCTGGAGCAGATTTTAACGTAGATCAGTCTCTTTGCAGCTCATTGTTTTTCGCCTCACAGCAGATTTGACAATATTGGAACCTCTTGTTAAACATTAAGAGGCATAAATAACAATCCCCTGTGGTGTAAAACAGTGGTTTTCAAACTGTGGATCGCGACCCAGTACTGCGTCGTGGAATGCAAGGCGCTGGGTCACAGCGGCTCTGGTCAGCACCACCAACCAGACCATTAAAAGTCCCAGCGGCAGTGCTGCCCAGCTAAGGCAGGCTACTCCCTACCTGTTCTGACACCGCGCTGTGCCCCCCAGAAGTGGCCAGCAACAGGTCTGGCTCCTAGGCAGGGGGGCCCCAGGGCTCCGCGCACTGCCCCTGCCCCGAGCACTGGCTCCAAGGTCCCATTGGCTGGTTCCTGGCCAATGGGAGCTGGGTATGGGGGGGTGCCTGCAGGTGAGAGTCACGCGAAGCTAGACCTTCTGCTGGCTGCTTCTCGGACACAGTGTGGTCTGCAGTGCCAGGACAGGCGGGAAGCCTCTCTTAGCACCCCCACTGCACCGCTGACCTGGTGCCGCCCGAGGTAAACCCACGCCCCAACCCTGTGCCCAAATCCCCTGCCCCAGCCCTGAGCCCCCCCAAACCTGGAGCCCCTTCCTGCACCCCAAACTCCTCAACCCTGGCTGCACCCCAGAGCCTGCACCCCCAGCCCAGCTCTTGTTTTTCTCCTCCTTTGGAGTAAGAATGTTAAGGTAAGAATATTAAGGTGCACTGAATTATTTACATATGAGAAAATGAGAAAAAAAATGCATGAGTGTGTAATATGTGCTTTGTACTGTTATGTAGTCTATTTAATCCAGGCATAATTTAAATTTTAAAAAGAGATTATTCTAAAACCAGCCTCCTAATCCAAATGCCTCCCAAACTCTGTGTGGATGTTTTGCTCCAGAACTGAACTTTGTTGCAAGCCTCTGATTGAATGAAAACCCCAGATATACCTGAAGTTTGGAGGTGATTGCATCCAGACAGAACCCTTGAGGCTGATAGCCCAAGTCGGTAAAAAATGTAGAAAAATGCTTTTGATTAGATCTTTTTTGAGAGATTTCTTTTCAGCTTCAGTTTTTTTCCTCTTTAGCTTTTCTCAAAAATGCTGATGCAGAATATGTAAGCACAATGGGACAAGGCTTCTCAAATATTGGATGATAAAAGTAGTGTCAGGAAGCAGATCTCTTCCCAGACATCCCACACATCAATAATTATTATGTAAAGGAACAGCAACACAACAGTACATCTTTTTCAGCAGAAGCACAGACAGTGCCATTTCAGTCACATCCAGGGGCCCCTGAAGACCTGTTCAATTGGGGCCACCCGTTTACTTATTCTCCTGCAAAACTTATAAACAATTTGTTGTTTTGTGTTTTATCGCACAAAACCCAACAACATCTATAAAATTTTGACTGCAGTTTAGTCCTATTTAGTCCCAATAGTCTTATTACTTACAAGAAGTAAACCAGAAGGACCCTTTTTGTAACCTATCATTAAGTATCTCCCTGAGTGCAACTTAAGCAGGGAAAATATATAAATATAGACCAGCAAGACAGCTCCAGAAAGGTCTGGTGAGGCATGAGAATGTCAAGCAGGGGTTTCTTCACATGGCAATCTACAGTACAGTTGGCTCATTTACTCCTTAGGTAGTTTGGCACAGAAGGTGTGAATGTTCATGTCATGCTCTCCCTGCATGGTTTCCTGGAACAGCAGGTTTCACAGCTTGTGTGAGCTGATCCTGAACATCTGGAAGCAAAATATTCCAGTAAGGGAAACTAAGAATTCATTGGTTTGGAAATGGTTAGTTATACCTACTACTCCCTACAGCCTTTTGCACATTTTCTAATGGTAGTCTCTGTTCTCCTTGTAAGTGAATATTAAGTCAAGATTTTTGAAGAATCTGAAAATACTGCATTGTTCCTCCTTTCTCCCAATCAAGATGGATTTCAGATTGTCCTGTCTGAGGCCTCTTAGCGTAGCTTTCAGTAAATTATAACACACTGGCATTCTGCAGAAAACACCTCCCCAAACCTCTTACAGTTGATCTGCATTGAAGAAAGATATTTTTAGCAGCTGTCTTTGGAAATGGGGCCTCTCACCAGACTGAATTCTCTAGAAGTCATCAATAAGTATAGAATTGTTTGCAATGAGGTCATGCAGGTGGGTTTTAGAAATAGATTTGCTGAACAGTTACCCAGACTTCTTCAGCCATGAGCTCAAACAGTCTTTTACATGCATATAACATTGCCACATAAATCACGGCATCATGAAGTTTGTGAAGAATGTATTTTCCATCCTTTTATGATAAAGGACTTGATCCTGTAAGGTGCTGAGCACTCTGCCACTGTTCATCAAAGCACTTAAGCTTGAATCAAGCACATGATGGGAGAAGTTACATTGGCTTTAGAGTTGAAGTTAAGCAGGTGTGTAAGAGCTTTGCTGAGTCAAGATCAGAGTGCTCTGCACTTTGTAGGGTTAAGTCAGTAGTGGGCAAAAATGTGTAGGAAAATGATCAGAAAAAGTTTAGTAATTTTTTTCCTTGTTTCTGTCTTCTTGTTACAGATCCTACTTAGATATGTATAAAGTGATAATATTTAGTTACCTCTTCTGGTTTGTGCTTACTATCATCTTCATCACGGGAACTACAAGGATCAGCATATTTTGTATGGGTTACTTGGTGGCCTGTTTCTATTTCCTGCTCTTTGGTGGTGATCTATTATTGAAACCTATCCGAAGCATTCTACGTTATTGGGACTGGCTGATTGCATACAATGTCTTTGTGATTACAATGAAAAACATACTGTCGGTAAGTGGCTGCATCTATAGTTTCAGTGCTGAATGCTGTTGTGGGTTAGTTGCAAAAGTGTGCAGTCATTAAGCAGTCCTAAAACCTTCCTTTCAGCATCACAAAATTGTACTAATGCGTGCAAGAGTCTTCCATGTTTCATTCAGAAACTGTAAATACAGTATCCAAAATTACTGTGGGTTTCTATATTATAAGAAAATGTGGACCTATTTTGCTCAGTCGAACTGTCTGAAAGTTCACAAGGTAAGAAGCAATTCTCAAGAAGCCAAATCCTGAATTCTTTACTTGGGAAAGCTCTCTTTTGAAGTCTGTAGACGCTTTGTGTGAGTAAGAACTCTGTAAGGACTACAAGTCTGTAAGGTCTACAATGAATAGAGTGTTTGTGTCATTATGGTGTTTAATTATAATTGGCATTTTGGAGCCGGACAGTCATCATGCTAAGAAGTTTTGTAGTTTCTGACACTGAGAATAGGGGGCCTGATGCAAGAGATGGCAAACCAGCTTCTAGTTTCCTTTAATTCTGGTCTAAGTTTCAATTGAAAATGTCAATATTTAACTCTTAAAGGCTTTATTTAACTATTAGGGTTCTTTTTATGAATGTTAAACCATTAGTTAAAGAACACTCCTATGATGCCTCCGATAAGCTGAGAAAAGCCAATAATTTAAAATGTTATAAAAGATAACTTTAAATGTATTTTTGGCAATTGTAGCTTACCTTTGAACATTTTTACTGCTGGACTGAGAAAAACAGGCATTTTTCATTTTAAATATATATAAATCAGCGTGTTATGTATGATTGTGTTTTGTTCCACGAAGGAGGGTTACCACAGCTCCTCCAAGCACTAAACACAATGGAAGGTGATAAAGGTGAATCAGTGAGTCTAAGTAACTTTACAGAAGTATCACCGGCCTGGAGTGGTTTGCATATACAGGTTCAAGCTGGGTTTCCAGAAACCAACAGACAAAGAAAGGGCTTTTAAAGTACCTTCTTTCTGATCCAGCAAACAGATGAGGCCTTTTGTCCCAGGGGAGCCCTAACCCTGGTGGAAAGGCTAAAAAGACTTTGGTCCGCTAAGGCCCCCTAAGACTGATTGGTGACTCCTGGTATGTTTAGTGTGTGGAGTGGAACACAGAGGGGGACATACAGATGCAGCCACCCTGGAACTGTGACAGTGACATAAACAGATGTGCTTAGATTCTTATCACTTGTTTCTGAACTTTATGTATCAGTCTCTTCATTTGCTTTTCAGATAGGAGCATGTGGCTACATTGAGTCATTAATTCGAAACAGTTGCTGGTTGATTCAAGCATTTAGCTTGGCTTGTACAGTTAAAGGATACCATCAACGTAAGTGCAGTTAGATTTTTTTCAATGCTTTTCTATAAATAAAGGTTATTTATAGAAATATAAATATATAATAATAAAAAATATAATAAAAATAAAGGTTAACTACGTTGGCTCCTTTCAAAATTTCAGACAAATCTATTTTCTCTTGACTGATTTGATATCTTGAGAACAATATTATATAATACAAACTAAATTAGGTATGGTCTAGGACATAAATAGACTAACATGATCAAATACTTAAAATACTGCATAAAACTGAGTACTATCTGCTGTTTATACAGTGATAACCATTTTTAAAAATCAGTATTTGGCAAAAGATAACAAATACTGACATCTTAACTTATCACAGATTTAACCGTAATGTCTGTGCCTAGTGGTTTGCAAATGTAGATTTTTTTTAATGGTTTCTACTGTAAAACTGTAGAACATAGAATTCTGTGAAATTTTAATGGCTGAACCTGTGTCCTGCCTAGGAATTCTGCTGCAAAGTTGTTGTTTTCTTTTTCAAATTTTTTGTTTGTTTGTTTTTTCTGATCTAAATAGGGAAAGGATATACAAAGGCAGTTCACCAAACAAAATTACATACAATGCAGCCCTGATTATGCAAAAGTTTTGAGTGGCAACAGAAACCTCTCTGGGGCTTGCAAAAATCAAGATGGTTCATGCAGCAAGCTTTGAAACTCCAACTTGGAGTATGGACTTCAAAAGCTACTAGGCTGGCTTCTCTGATTTTAGAGCTCTTATGCACAGGCTGCACGCCCCATCCTCTAACTCCAGAGTACTGTCCAGCTTCCCCAAGGCCAGCTAACTTTGCAGGTGGAGTTTACACTCTGGGTCCACAAAGCCCAGGTTTAGTTCTGTGACATCCAAAAAGTAACTCCCTATATAAAAAAATAAAATACAGCATACATCGGATGGAATTGTACGTTTCAGTTATCTTAAGAAAAACGATTTACAGGCCCAAAAAGGCTTTTCAGAACTCTGGCTTATTTCCATTGGGCAGAATGGAGATGTGCTTACATATTTAAGAAGATGATAATCCTTACGTTGGTGATTTCTGTTTGTTTTTATAAGCTAAAGAAACTGGAGACTGTAAATTGCCTAGCGGTGAGGCAGGAATTATTTGGGACAGTATATGCTTTGCTTTCCTGCTGCTGCAAAGAAGAGTCTTCATGAGCTACTACTTCCTACATGTGGTTGCTGATATAAAAGCTTCACAGATCCTGGCATCAAGGTAGCATTCAGTGTAAAAACGGAAACTGATTAAACACAAATCCTTCATTATTAGGTTTGTTTTTATTAGTATTTATATTGAGTATTGCCAGTAAAGCGTCTGACTAACCCAAGCTCCAGCCACTTTGACATAAGTTTGACTACTCCACAATCAATACCAAATAAAAATTGCAAACACATTTCTTCCTTTAAAAGGGAATTCTGTCTGGCTGCTTATATTGGCTACCCCGGCAGGAAAGGCCAGCAAAAGGCCTCTGAATCAGATACCATAGAACTCTCTGATTTCTGCACTTGGATGAATTTTACTGAATGTGCCCAAGGCTGCTTGTGCTTCATTATGTAGCTGTCTCTGTGACCCTTTCCCTTTCTCTTTCTCATACAACTTAGCCAATTCAGGATATAATCATGCATCCATTACCATTGTATGTTTAGAGTAAAGCTAGCCCAAACCAAAATCTTGGATAGTAACATCCCCCCAAGTTGGAAACTTAATCTACCTAATGCTTTAATTCCTCAGCTGTAAACATGAAGATAATACTTCCCTATGTCACAGGGATGTCACTGGGATAAAATCTATGAATAATTGTAAGGCACTGAGATATTACATTGATGAGGGTCATATACATTGCTAGATAGAGCTGAACTTCATAGATGGGCCCTTGCCTCACTAAAATCTGAGATCTAAACATTCTTGAACTTTGGGGGAGTTTAGATTTGGATCCAAACTTTATGACTGGAGCCCATCTTTAGTTCACAATTAACATTATGAAACATACAATCCTGACCCAGAGAAGATTAGATTGTCTTCAGGACAATTGCAATACCTCTCTGAAGCCAGATGATATTCATCCAAGAGTCTAGGCATTTAAGAATGAAGAGGTTGAGTTGCTACAAACAATATGCACTTCCTATTAAAATAATCTTCTGTGCTACAGAACTGACATGGTATGCCAGTATTGTACCTATATTTTAAAAAGTGCATATGGTTATCCTGGGAATTGCACATAAGTGAGGCTCATTTCAGTACCAGATAAAAAAATAATTAAAATGGATTTATGAAACCTCTAGATGTCTGCACACTGCGATGTTGACAAACAAGCATGGCTTTTATAAAGGCCACTAGTGCACTAAAATTCTCTGAGAGAGTCAACAACAACAACAAGAGGAGGTACAATAAACACAATTTATTTTGACTTTCAAAATACCCTTGATAAAGTCCCTCATGAGAGAGACTGTTGATGAAACTAAGTAGTCATGGAGTGAAATGTTTTCTCATGGATCAAAAACTGCTTGAGAAACAGAAAACAAAGGGTAGGAATAGTCAGTCAGTTGTCAACATAGAAGTAGGCTAAGAACAACAAACTTTGAAAGGACTTAACAAAGCTAAGCAACTGGCAACACAGATAAAATTCAGCATAGGCAAGTGCAAAATACTGGTGATATGCATCAAGAAATAGTTTAAACTAATACACACTGACGTATTGTAAATTAACTCTAACCATTTTGTTACCCCTTAACTAACTAACAGAGGTTCAAGTATGCCTCCAGATTGGAGGTGGGACACGTACTCATTTGAGGAGTCATACGCATTTGCATTTTGTGTTGTGAGCACGAAGCATGTGCTGTGCTCACTGAGGACTAGGCAGGCAGAACTCCACCCACTCAAAGGCAGAGCTGCCCGTGCTTGACAAGAGGATTTAATGTATGCCATCGTTTACAAGTAAAGAATCAAATTCTGCAGTTGTGCAAGGAGTTCTCACTCAGGCTTTGACTTTGAGTCCTTGAGGCCAGTGAACCCAAGCACTGGATAATGACTGCTGTAACTAAATGGTTGAGTAGTGACTACAGGATTTGGCCCAAAATCTGGTAATGATTGCCTGAAAACCAGTGAATTATTATGCTGTGATTGCTCATCATTTCTGTACTGTCCTTCTGATGGTAGTGTTTTGTCTCAGACTATTTAAGTAGTTTATAAAGTAAGCTTCTCCCTGTGTTTTACTTGCTATAAAGGGAATGTAGAATCATAATAGTGTTACATTTCCCCCCTGTTTCTTCTGTAGAGGTGCTGAACTTTTCCAGGCCACAATTGTCAAGGCAGTAAAGGCAAGAATCGAAGAAGAGAAAAAATCAATGGATCAATTGAAGAGACAGTATGGATTATTATTTATTATATTTATTTCACTGGTTACTCCTACTCTACAGCATATTAACCCTTTTCTGGGAGCTGGAAGGGATATTTCTTTTGCATTCTCTCGTCTTCTAAAGCATCCTTTCATACTTCTCTGCATATTATTGCACACAACCAAACCAGTGCTTATATGCTGGTTTGTTTGTTTTTTGTATATAATTTCTTGAGTATGGAAATTATATTCTGTTAATTGAGATCCTTCACTTATTCCACTATTCTGTGGCTGCAGAATCTACCCTTTGCTATAAAATTAAGCCAAAGGATCTAAATTTTCATTTAAAAATAAAATTGTCTTTCTATAACTAATGGTTGTACAATTAACCTTTAAAATGTGAACAACATGTAAACCAATGCAATATTGACTTCCTTAGTCTGTAGAAAGCCTGAAAATATACTATAAATAGTCCTTTACTGTAAATAAAAACAGAAGGTGTGAACCTCCCCACTAGTTTCAAGGTGGGGTTTTTTACCTTTGAAATATAAGGATGATAACTTAAATTCCAACATTGTTAACTATTGCATTGCTTATCATTTTAGCAATGTGGCAGCATGGTCTGTCTCTTTAGTAGGAGACTACTAAATTTGTTTTGTTTTTCCATTTGAGAATACTAATAACTTGGAGAGCCAGATTAGCCAAATCCTGCTGGAGTCACAGGTTACCAAGTGGGACCTTGAGACACAGGAAACAGGATAAAAAACAAAAACTTCAGTAGCAGTGGGGTTAGTCAGCAAAGCTGTGGTTCTGAGCTGGCTAGTGAATGGCAAAACCCCCACTGACTTCAGTATGATCAGGATTTCACCTCTTGTGTCTTTATTCATAGTGACCTCTGTTGTGGGTTAGTTCTTTTGTTTAGTTTGTGCTGCTTTTGCCCAGGATGAGAATCTATTTTATCTTGACTGAAAATATTTTCTTTCGCTCTGACTGATCTGGAGAACCCTTTCCTGTATAAAGCCAACCCAGCCACTCAGCTTCTATCACATATTGCTAATGTTCTTGTCTCATTTCCCAATCTGCCTTCCGTGCCACCCTAAGTGCTAAAAGTCCTATCTATCTGCTACTCACATGCCAAAACATCCAGTTATCCTTCCCCTGACCCACTACCAACAGTCAAGTCCACACCTGCCCAACTGAGGTCATTACAAAGCTTTCCTCTGTGGCCATTCTCCTCACGTAAATCTTTTCCTTGGTGTATAGGTGCTGTGGAGGGTGCTGCTATGCATTAGGGTGAATTTCATCCTAACTGTAAAAAAAGACAATATGCCTGTACTGGAAGTCATCATTGTTTTAATTCTGCATAGATATGTTTGAGGTCAAGGTGATCATGTTACTTAAAAAAACAAACAAACAAAAATCCAATGTACTGTATTCAAAAATCATTGTTTTGGGTTTGCAGTAAATCTGACTTCAACAAAAGGAAAGCCAAAGTGTGCTTTGTTTGATTTTATTCAATAATAAACATCAATAGAATGTAGAGAACTGCCTACACAGCAGGAAATCAAAAACAACTGTACCAGTTTGACTGACTTAGAGAAATTCCAGCAGTAGTTGAACACAAGGAAAAAGAGAAATCTGATCATCCATTGGTCTATAGTACAAATATATAACTGAATATGTACTATAATGTAGTTAGAGACCTAGAATATAATTTGTTTCTTACGAATGGTCAGATCCATCAATTGAAAATTATGTTGACACTTTTTAGTCACTAGAATTTTTGACCCTGATGATTCTAAACAAGTTGTTCAAAAAATTCAAAAAGTTATTGCAAAATTTGGGTACTTAAGGGTCTGATCCAAAACCCTATTGAAGTGAATCAAAAAACTTCCACTGGCTTCAGTGGCCTTTGGATCAGTCTCTTACTGAGCACCAGATTGTGGAGGTGGCTTCTCAGGCTCAGAGGAAGGAGGGCATGAGAAATGCCCAACCCCCAGTCCCTGCACCCATGCTACATTTGAACAAAACTGAAGTCCCTGCACTCCCAAAGGAGCTAGGGTCATAGCCATGAGTGCATAGGAGGAAGTACGCTGCACCCCTTGAAGGGGTGTAATACCATGCACACTCCTGCTGAGTTGTGGGAGTCTTCAGGAGAAGTTCTGCATGAGGTAGCTTTCCCCCCAGAGCTCCTTCTACAGTAGTATAGCCCCAATGCCTCCCAGTGCAGGACTGAGCCTGAATTTTTATACTATAAACAGGGGTGAAAGTATCTCCGGACACTTAATGGGATGGGGACGGCTCTGGCCCCCGAAAGGGGTGGGGCCTCGGCAAAAGGGGCAGGGCTGGGGGGGTCAGCATCCTCCAGCCAGCCCTTCCAGGCTGCCTGGCCTATGCTTTCCGGGGCGCCAGTGGCGATTTAAAGGGCCCGGGGCTCCGTGCACCACCGTTGCTACCGCAGCAGTGGTGTCCAGAGCCCCAGGCCCTTTTAAATCACTGGCCCCGGGGCAGCTGCTCCCTTTGCACCCCCCAACTTGGCCGTTGGCAGCCAGGAGGGCAAAAGGGGCAGGGACGTTAAAACACTGTAGGTTCCCTTGCCACAGCAGCACTTTAACGTTGCTGCACCCCCACCTCCCCGTAAGTGGCCCTGCTGGTACGGACTCTACCAGCAGGGCCGCTGATGGGGGAGGTGAAAGGGGCAGGGACATTAAAGCACTGCTGCCATTTGCTTGCACTAAGGAAAATGTGAGTATCCACATTCTATATTCCAGCTTACTGTTCGGCATTTTCCCCCTGAAATAGGTTGACCACTTAGAGTGAATCAACTAGGGCAGCCATGTGACACAAGGTGCTCTCAGTCTCCAGGCTGAGTGCTCTGTCTGCTCAGCACTCTCACACCCTGCCATCCTCTGGAGTGAGACACTGGGCCTCAGATTCAATTCTGGTCTATTTCACAGGGCCATGTAGAGCTCATCTTCAGGGCTCCCTAACTACTTTTTAAATGGGAGATTAATGTATGTCTGTGTAGGATGGATCGGTGGGTAGCAATCGATATATCAGGGGTCGATTTATCGCATCTAATGTAGACGCGATAAATTGGTCCCCGAGTACTCTCCCATCAACTCCAGAACTCCAGCGCCGCGAGAGGCGCAAGCAGAGTCGACAGGGGAGCGGCGGCAGTCAACTCATCACCGTGAAGACACCACAGTAAGTCGATGTAGGTAGGTCAACTTCAGTTACGCTATTCTCGAGCTGAAGTTGCGTACCTTACATCGACCCCCTCCCCCCGGCCAGTGTAGACCAGGGCTTATTTGCAAATGGCAGAATCATTTGAGAATCTATTAAAATCCCATCCAGAATTTCCTCTGTGTGTGTGTGTGCGCATGCACATGTATACTCATAAGTAATATATGTTTAAAAGTCATGTTTCTTTGTGGGTCCAAAGGGGTGAAGGACTGAATATGATATCTCATTTGCTAGGATGGACCGCATCAAAGCTAGGCAACAAAAATACAAAAAGGGTAAAGAGAGAATGCTGAGCATGACCCAAGAATCAACAGAAGGGCAAGAAATTCAAAAGGCTTCTGAAGAAGATGATGAAGGTACCTCTAGCACGTTTCCATGGCATAAATGTATCAGAAGTTGGAGCTCAGTGCTAGGAACTCAGTAGGCTTAAGTCTGTGTGTGTGAGAAATACTGATGTGATGGGCATTATTAGTGGAATTCCATTTTAAACCTTGATTCATCCAGATAAATATCTGGCTTTTGTACTTCCATTTTAAGAAAATGATTTGCTTTGAGGTAAACAGACATACCTTTGGTTAAATTTGTGTCTTTTAGCAAGGAACTGAATAACAGACATTTACTTGAGCAACAGCTGTATTTATAAAAAATTGTAGTGTCTCAGAAAGAGAAAGATTTACGATTTTTCCAGCAATCTTTTCTTGGTTGCTGTGAGTTTTTTGAAACCATTGAAATACACAAACATCTTTTATTGTTTGAAACACTATAGATTAAAATATCATGAAGTGCCATTGTTTCCAATCATACCTAACTGGGGTTGAATTTTGGATCAAAAAGTTATTGGCATTTGCAATGTACTTTTAGAGCTTTGTTTTTTATGAATGAATTTTATTTTTCAGAGTGTTAACAAATAATGGATAATTTTTTCAGAACTTAACTTCATCGATGATTAATAGAAACTGTTTCCAAATCGTGTTTATAGTATTTACAAGCAAGTTTTATGCATATTAGACAATAACATTTTAACAAATGAAATGTCACTGGACATCTATATAAACCCTTTTTTGTTTATTTTCCATTAGTTTTATGGAAAATCAATGAAATCCATCAGTGTGTAATGCACGTCTGCATGGTGATCATTTATTTTATTTATATATGTGTGTGTGTGTGTGTGTGTGTATATAAACTGTGAACTTTTTTGTCGTACTTGGAGTGGAATACTATTTTTTTTTATTTATTGTGTAAGATAGATCATTAGCATTCTGGGCTACCTCTTAAAACATAAATATCATTCATACTGAGTATATTGAATAGAGTTGAAATCTGATGTGCTTATGCAGTTTAGATCTATTACAAAAAATAAGTGATTAAACAAAGTGTAAAAATGTGTTTTTCATTTTGTAAAATTAATATTTGGCCATATTTTATTTTAGGAGAAGCAGACAAAGAGAAAACCAAGGGCAAAAAAAAGCTGTGGTGGCGGCCTTGGGTTGATCATGCTTCCAGTAGGTTTTCTCAATCATCTTACAAATACATGGATTTACCCCTTATATCCTTGACCAGAATGAAAGCATTCCCACAACTTGTTTGTTTTTATGCATGGTTTTATGATTGTGACTTGATAGAGTGCTTGATTGTATAAACCAGTGATTTCAACTTTAAACCTCCAGGGGACAAATAAGCAATGTTCTGTAATGCGGATTTTGGTATTTCTGACCATTTGCAGTTATATCCAGTCAAAGAAAAACATGAACCAAAATAATCTGTCTCACACACAAAGAAGGGGAAGCCTCCAAAAAGATGATAAAATGGTTTTAAATTTGAGAGTAGAAGCTTTGCCCCAATACTGATTAGTTGTATGCATTTGGGGCCGGAGCTTAGTCCTTACTAGTTTTATTTTTCAAAGTTAGATGGTTCACCAATTGTCATCTCATGCACAGATCACCATGGTCTTCAGTGAGAATGGAATCAAGCCATGTGCATGGAAAATATTCTTCTTTAAAAATCGCATTAATCAGTTATATCAATGAGAAGTTAACCTGAATAAGAACTGTAGGATGGATCCCTCAGTAACCATGAGAATCTTGATTGGTGTGATGTTTTCAAAAGTGTTGAGAGTTTGCCTAACTCTGTTTCCACTTAAGTCAATTGGAGATTTACTGTTGGCTTCTGTGAGGGTAGAGTTAGGCTAAAGGCTCTAGAAAATCCCACCTTTATAAATATAAAGCATTTAAATGTGAAGTGTAGAACTGTATTCATGCTTCTGAGATAGGAACAGATGGTGCCAGTGAAGGTCTTCTTCCAAAATCTCTGACGTTATTGGTGAGACTTGAGAGAGCCATTCCAGCAAAAAGTTTATACTATTAATACTGGCGAACAGTTCTGATCTTCAACTTCTTCCTCAAGTCAAATCTTTCCATAGATCTCTCCCCGCCAAAAAAATTGTCCTTATTACTTTATTGCAGTTGCAACAAAATTTGCCCCTACACTGTGCAGCTGATATTCAGTCAGTGGTGTTTGTTTTTACTAAACGGGGGACAGGAAATAAAAGGTTTTTCTGGGAAAAAACTTGCATCTGAAGAAGTGGGTTCTTTACCCAAGAAAGCTTATGCCCAAATAAATCTGTTAGTCTTTGAGGTGCCACCAGACTCCTTATAATATTTTTAATTCCTTTACAGCCCTAAAACTCAGTACAGCTAGCCTGATAATACATGGATGGTTCTACCCTAATTTACACCCTTTATAAATCAGAAGAGAGAAGAGTATGGCACTTAATTGCCTAAACTCATGTGTCCAGTTACTAGATCTTAGCTCACAGAAGTCATCTATTGCAGGATAGTCAGTATTGGCTATTTAACAAGTGAATGGTACTGATCAGAGTGCAAAGTTAAACTGAAACATTTATGAATGATCACTTTCAGTCTTGCACCTCTAGAGTTGCTTATTTTTCCCTTCCAAACATATTTTTATGCTCTTTGTGTCCATGTCTGTATTTTTGTGTATGTGTGTTCTTGCCAACAGTATTTTATAGTATATTACATGCCTGTTTCTGTCAAGTCACAAGTAAACTGTGCCTATGTCTTTCTGTTTGTAAAGAGCATAATATTACTTTAGAGAGACCTATCCTTTTTCAAAAGCATACTTCTTGTCATTTCAGTTTCATTTAAAACAACAATAGCAAAATAAACACAAGCTACAATTAGCAACTGTTTTCTTACAATTTTAAACTACAGTATTTTTGGAAGGAATTGGATATGGTCTGTCTTAATCCTCACACTGGTTTTGTAGTAAACAGAAGAACTGCCCAAACAAGGCCTTGATTTCAGCAATTTCTGGTTCATTTCACCCTCATTATATCATGTTCTTAGGGAACAACACGCATTTTGGTGTTTAAACAGTGAGCCTTATTTAAATTATTTATTGCAATAAGGCAGAAACCTGTGGAAAGCATCATGTAGCCTGAGCCTACAGACACTGCCTGCCCTGCCATGCAGATTCACTACCATGTCCATTCAAATAAAGAGGACTACACAGAGTAGAAGCACAATAGTACTTACTGTGGGCAAGATCAGGCCCACAATTTGGACATGGAAGGACCACCATTTGTAAATCCTTTATAGTATTTCTATAACCACTTTCCGTAAAAGGCTAAAGACATTTCCTTTTTAGTGTTTTGGCTTGTGGCTGTAGGTGTGTTTACTTCTGTTGAGGAGCCTGCACTAATGGAGTTCAGCGTTTTATGCCAGTTCTGGTGTTCGCTAAACTGGACCATGTTTCCTTTTCATTCCGTTTATACAGTTATGTACTCAGATACCTTCTGATCATAATGATGACAATGGGATGGGAAACATCTGTGAGATTTTCCTCATTGAGATGTCTCCCAAATTGTTCCAATGAGGAAAGCAGTGCTCCTTCAGTCCCTGTGGAACAGGCCCCTGAGCCCTAAAAGGATCAGCAGGTGGCAGAGCCATCTGCATAGAGGTTCTTTGCTTCTCTGTTGGCTGTGTATCCCCATCCTTAACAGTTCTGCTCTAATGGAGTGATGTAAACAGAGCTCCCAGCTGTTCCAAATGGCTCCCAAATGGGGATTCCTACTATGGGATATGAGTGGGGAGGAGAAAATAGTACAGTTCCCACTCCTCAAGCCCTACCCCTCCCTTGACCTTCCCCTTCCTCCCTTGCAAATCCCCACATCTGTGCAGAGTTCTCCATGACACATGGAAAAAAGAGGAATGTTGCCACAAAATCCCCTTCCTCAGTGAGAAGTGGGGAGGGGATCTGTGAGTGAACACAAATCTGGCCATTAATTAATTATTTTACTTATTAAATGTTTTAATAATGCCCGTAGGTGGTTAATGTACTCTCTGTTCCATCCTGAGGTGTATCTGCCAGAGCGTGTTGTTGTTGTTCAGTCATACTTTTTTTTTCAATTAAAACACTCCTTATTAGCTGTTAGAGGAGTGTTTTGTTATATTACTGTCTCTTCAGAAATACTTGAGTGCACAGCTGAGAGAGAATTTACATGAGTGTTTGTACATTACTGCAGCACAATGGGGCTCCAGGCTTAAGGATGCCTGTAGTTGCAAATGTATGACAGTAATACTCTACAATATATTAACCCCTAAGTATCACACAGACTGTAGATCTCATCCTGCTGACCTGTCTGTGTGGACAACTTCTGTTATCAGCAACTGTAATTTTTCCTGAAAAACAACTCCAGGTTAGGGGCCTTAAATTATGAATGTCTCTGAAAGCTTTCATTTTTAACATCTCTTCTAGGGACATTCTTAGAGGCCTGTGTGAAATATTTTTACTTGTTTCAATATTTTTCTGTTATTCAATATTTGTGACCCCAATTCTGCAATCAGATCCATTCAGGTGGACTCTTAAGCCCACAGAGTCCCATTGATGTTAATGGAGATCTGCACAGCCCCAGAGGTCCACCTGAGCAGACATGACTGCCTCTGTTTTTAATGGCAACTTGTACCATGTCTATGTTTGGATAGAGAACTGGCAACTTTCATCTCAGGTTTAAGATTTAATATGATTTATTAGTGTCCATCTGAGCACAAAAGAGACATGTAGACTACCACATATGTTTGAGAAGGGTTGAAGCTATTTTGATTTTTCTAGAGGTTTATAATGAGGGTAAAATGTACACTTTTTATATAAATATATATTGTTCCATATGTCTTGGGTGACTATGTGATATTTAGTCTAAGTAACTATTGTTTTAAAATCTTTCCGTTTACATGCAGGTTTTACTTTACCATTCTTCACTGCCAAACGTAATACCGTGACTTTGTTTTTTCTCTTGCGCGTCATCTTATTTTTCATTTCTTTTGTTTTCCTTGTTCATTCATGTTAGGCCTGTTACCTTATTACATACCAAAATAATGCTTCTGTTCAAGGATATAAGGCCCAGTTCATTCACTCTGCATCTTTAATGTATGGAGGTTTCAGATCCTTTCTGAATCCATGGGCAAAAACCTCATTTGTGATCATGTTTAATAATATTAAAGTGATTCATTTTAAACAAGCCAAGGTTTTCCATTACCTCATCAAAGCTTAAAAGTTTGAAGAAAATAACTCATACATCCCATTATGTAGTTTAAAGGATACCTCAGCATTTAAAAAAGCAGTTCTGTACTCTTTGTCCAGTTGTACAATTTACGTAAAATCGTTAATTTACCTTCTGAGATTATTTTACTCTCTAACAAAATGAAAGCAACCTTCAATCCTGGATACATTTAGGTTTAATTATGTATCAAGTTCCTGTCAAATATTTTAATGTAATAACTTGGTCTACTTCAAGCTTTTTCTTTACATTTTGCCAGCCCTGTTCCTCTTTGTGGTGATGTTTTCTTAGCTTATTCTTATCTCTGTCATGCCCAAAGTACCACATACTCTAACACCAAATAATCTGTCTGACACTGAGTCCTGTTCGTCTCTTGTTTCATCTCCATTTCTCCTGCTTTGGAGTCCATTAATGACTGGCTGGTTATTTATACATCTTTGGCTCAGCTCAGCCTAGAGCTCCTTTTTTACAAGAAATAAGCAAATATTTTGTTTCATTTAGTGGTCAGAAGTGGAGATTATTATTTATTTGAGACGGATAGCGAAGAAGAGGAGGAGGATGAAAAAAAAGATGATGAAGAACCTCGGCGAAGATCTGCATTCCAGGTATTTTACGTAATGTGCTTGTCAGTTGAAGTTCTTACTGAGAGAGCTTGAGTTAAGATATAAGCATCTCCTAACATACTCTCATACATTAAAGTTGACCGTAATTGTTAATATTAGGTGGTGCCAGATGTTTTAGCTTTTAAACAAAACCCACATTTGATGTCTCAAATACTTGACATTGTCCTTTGTTTTTCATATTGTTAAAACGTTACCGTTCGAGACTGAAATCATTGATTTCTAAGACTAGAGGATCCTACCTGTACCTAGGAGCTGTGACCATATAAGGCTCTTGATCCATGCACACATCTCCAGTTGTGCACATGAGAACTGAGGGTGGAATAAGGCTCTTAATACTGTGCATTTTTGCCAGAGAGTGGAGTTGAGGAGGCAGAATAGTACGTTAGCTTGTGAGTAGCTTGTCAACTGCTTGGTCAGCTTTCCACGTTCCATACAACTTCCATCACTGTGTATGTGTGTAGCATTATTAGCACAATACTAACCTTTAACTTGCTGTTTGTTATAGACCCTACTAAATATTTACTTTTAACTGCTATATTTGCCTTTACCATAAATTGCCTCTAACAGTCATCTGTCATGGGCTTATAATGATATCCTTATCAGCTTGACCATTCACTAGGGTTTACATTTATGGACTTAAAGATAATGTTTTATATAAGCATTTTATTTATTAGGATAATACAAAAAGCTCAATAATTATGTAGCTGAAAGTTTAGAGCAAATAGCACATGTTGTCTTTTTATCACATTGTTTTCAAGTAATGTAAACCCTTTAATAACAAGTATATAATTACAATCATACAAAAGGTAACTTTTTATTAATACTTTTCCTTTTTTTCTACTAATTGCTCTTCCTTTGTCCTTCTTTGTAGAGAGCTATTGGGAAATTTGCTTCAGCCATTTTAGCCTTGCCAAAGTCTGTCATTAAACTGCCCAAAACTATTCTCCAGTATTTAATCAGAGCAGCAAAGGTATTTGCCATTTCACTAGTGTGCAATATGTGCCCTCATTACGTAATATTCTGGTATAATGTACCCAACTGCCCTTGCCTGCATTTTCCCTCTTGTATGAACTGTCTGAGGAGCTGTGAGAGTCCAAAGCTTTTTACATATTAAATGTCATCAGTTGAACTATTTGAAGTGCGCAAACTACAATAAGTTGTCTGTCTTATTTTAACTATGACCTCAGAGAAAATGCAGATCCAAATTTTTGTTTTCTTTTGATATTACTGCCTAAGGTATTGTAAGAGGGTCACATCAAGTTGCATGCATCTTTAGACAGTGTGGTAAGATCTTAAAAGTAAACTAACAAAATACACATTCTGTCCCAAACTCATTGTCCTAGCACTTTATTTTCTTGGTCTAGGTCATCATAAATCTGATCTGTGCATCCTTAGCATTTTCTTTTGTCTTCCTCAAATAAATTTAGCACATTCCAGCCTTTTATAGTGCTCATGGTAATGCACTCCATATACACAACATGATACTACTTTAGAGTAAGCACTAAATGCGTTATTGATTAACCACACCAAACCATAAGCCTATAAGTTCTTGCTTGTCAAGTGTTGTCCACTACTGAAATTCTAAAGCAAGATATATGTTTTCCCTGGCAGAAGTTGAAATACCCTGTCGTTTAACGTAACTAGAGTTATAGTCAGTTTATTAATTTCATTTCTTTCCTTCAGTCTTCCTTTCCCCCATTATCTCAGTCTGTTCCATCATCACTATGTTCTCCTCTATTTACAGTATGATTGCAAGCTGTTCAATAGTAGCCTTTGACAGTGCCTCACCTATAGTGTCCAAAATGGTATGTTAGGTCAAGTCATTATTAAAATTGGATAAACATACCTCTAGATCACTCTCCATTAACAAACACGCCTTAAAAAGCAAAGAGGATTCCATGCCTTCTATGCCAAGACATTTTTCACATGGTATTTGCATTGGACAAAGCAGCCTAGTAAAAAGAAAATAGCTGACCTTGAGAGACTAGGAAGGAGACCAGCTTCTCTTCTGTACCAGATCATTTCCCCCTCGCAATTACCGAGCGCACATTCACAAATCAGAACCAGTCAGAAGATTTCTTTTTCTGTAAATGCAGCGAAAAGCCAATTTTGTGAAAGTTCTTAAGATTGTGTTTGGAAGACCTCAGAGTGATTTCTGTTCATAAAATAGCAAAAACAAATAAACAAAAGGAACATTTACAATGTTATTTCCTGTAATGGACAATTCCAGCTTCCCTGAGACACAGGTGTGCTCATGTTGTTGTGTGCATGCTTGTATTGGTTTGCTTTATTTTCCCCTCATGCATGAAATCATGTGCTTCTTGCTTAACAACTTCTGTTGACTAGAAATGAAGAATGCCAGTTGCAAATTATTTTCATTTTTGAATGAAAATCGTAGAAAAACAAAAACACATCTTTTGTCTCAAATTGCTAGGAAATAGTGTTTAATGCCTTTAGTTCTTGCTTCATGTTATACTGTGCTGGAAAAAAAATAAAATATAATTGCTTTTATCAGTAACCTTCCCCCACACCCTTAGCAAAGCTATTCAAACTACTACTACATGGTAATAATACTTAGCACTGCTACAGCATTTAATAAACATTGGACAAACTCCTGTTTACTCACTCACGGAAATCAGATTAATATGAGTATGGTGAGCAGGATTTGGCTTGTTAGCTCATACATCCCCATGAAATCCCATGGATGCAGGTAAGTATTATTATCTCCATTTTCCAGATAGAGAAACTGAGGCAGAAAGGTTAAGTGACTTACCCAAAGCAACAGAGAAAGTTTATTGTCAAAATGAGGATGAAAACTCAGGAGTTTCCTGGCTATTAGTTGTAGACTATTCATAGACTACTAGACCTCTGTCTGTAATCCTCAGATAGAAAGAAAATCACATAAAGTGTATTAAATTTGCTGACACAAATACTAGCATTGAAATATTAATAGCAATTTTTGATGTTTTAGATTATTGGTTATAACACCTGCTGTTAAAGTTTCTGTTTCATTGCACCTTACTTGTAATGCTGATAAAGTAGAAATATACATTAGAAAGATTTGGGGGAAGTGAGCCCTATGTACAACACTGTGTTAATCCCCAAATTTAATTCCCAGAACATTAATTTTTGTGGGTTCTTATGAAACTTGGTTCACCCACAAACATTTTCACATTTGGTTTCATGTTGACAAAAATAGTTCAAGAAAACTCAGCAGATCTGCAGGGAAGGTGTTTGGATTGAGATTCAAAATGTTTGCTTACCCCTGTGTTTACCCTAAATATGTATTCCTGTGTGTAGTTTATTTTACTGTTTACTTTCAAAACATGAAGAACCTTGAAATAAATGAATTGCTTCCTCCAGTTTGTGTATCAGGCCTGGATTACTGATCCTAAAACTGCACTTCGACAGAGGCGCAAAGAGAAGAAAAAGTTTGGGAAGGAAGACAAGCGAAGGCGAAAAGGATCTGGGGATGGTGTGTATGCTTTGGATGGTCTTCTGAAGTCCCCTTTAAACAAACAAAGAAGCAAAAACGTATTCTTCTTTCAATCCCTGGTGTGGCAGGCAACCATACTATCACAGAATGCTCTCAATTCTGCCAGGGGAATAGGAGGAGTGCTTTGTGCTGAACTGAGTTTGCCTTGTGTCTTTACCTGGAAGACACTGTATAATGTTCTGTATACTGTGCTGACCTGTTTTGCTTCAGTCTTCACTAAAAAGATGAATTGTGACCAGTCACTTAACATGTAACAGCAAGGAGGAAGGAACACAAGCCTAAATAGGGAAAGAACAAGTTAAAGAATATTTATATATCTTAGATGTATTCCAATCAGCAGGACCTAATGAAATTCATCCTAGTGTACTTAAAGAACTAGCTGAAACAATTATATTTGAGCACTCATGGAGGATGGGTGAGGTCCCAGAGGACTGGAGAAGGACAAACATAGTGCGTATCTTTAAAAGGGGGAACAAAGAGGACCCAGGGAATTATAGATTGGCCAGCCTAACTTTGATACCTGGAAAGATACTGGAATAAATTATTAAACAAGCAATTTATAAGCACCTAGAAGATTATAAAATTTTAAGCAATAGCCAGCATGGATTTGTCAAAAACAAATCATGTAAGGCCAACCTAATTTTCTTCTTGGACAGGGTTACTGGCCTAGTGAATACCTGGGAAGCAGTAAATGTGATATATCTTGATTTTAGTAATGCTTTTGTTACAGTCCCACATGACATTCTCATAGGCAAACTAGGGAAATGTGGTCTAGATGAAATTACTTTAAGGTGGGTGCACACAATTAGTTGAAAAGCCATACTCAAAGAGTAGTTATCAGTGGTTCACTGTCAAACTGGGAGGTTATATCGAGTGAGATCCCAGCAGGGTCAGTCCTGGGTTCAGTAATATTCAATATTTTCATCAATGACTTGGGTTAATTAATGGAGTTGAGAGTAGGCTTAATAAAATTAGCAGAGGACACCAAGGTGGGAAAGGTTGCAAAGCACTGTGGAGGACAGTATTAGAATTCAAAATGGCCTTGACAAATCATAGAATCATAGACTATCAGGGTTGGAAGGGACCTCAGAAGGTCATCTAGTCTAACCCCCTGCTCAAAGCAGGACCAATCCCCAGTTTTTGCCCTAGATCCCTAAATGGCCCCCTCAAGGATTGGGCTCACAACCCTGGGTTTAGCAGGCCAATGCTCAAACCACTGAGCTATCCCTCCCCCCAAATTGGAGAGTCGGTCTGAAATAAACAAGATGAAATCCAATAAAGTTAAGTGCAAAGTACTTCACTTTCGAAGGAAGAATCAAGTGCACAACTACAAAACAGGGAATAACTGGCTAGGTGGTAATACTGCTAAAAAATGATCTGGGTATTATAGTGGATCACAAATTAAATATGAGTAAACAATGCAATGCAATTGCAAAAAAGGCTAGGATAGTTCTGGGGTCTTTTAACAGAAATGTCCTATGTAAGATGTGGGAGATAATTGTCCTGCTCTACTTAGCACTGGTTTGGCCTCTGTTGGAATAGCATGTCCAATTCTGGGTGCCACACTTTAGAAAAGATGTGGACAAATTGGAGAGAAGAGCCACAAAAATGATAAAATGTTTAAAAAACCTGACCTTAAAAAAATTGGCCATGTTTCGGCTTGGAGGGGGAAAAAAAGATTGAGGGGAGACCTGATAAGTCTTCAAATATGTTAAGGTCTGTTATAAAGAGGATGGGGATCAATTGTTCTCTGAGTCCACTGAAGGAAGGACAAGAAATAATGGGTTTAATCAGAAGAAAGAGAGATTTAGGTTAGATATTTGAAAAAGCTTTCTAACTATAAGTGTGATTAAGCTCTGGAATAGGCTTCCAAGGGAGGCTGTGTAATCCCTGTCATTGGAGGTTTTTAAGAACCAGTTGGACAAACACCTGTCAGGGATGGTCTGAATTGACTTGGGCCTGCTTCAGAGCAGGGGGCTGTGCTTGATGACCCCTAGAGGTCCCTTCTAGCCCTATATTGCTTTGACTCAGCACAGATAGCTATGCTCCGAATCCTTTTTTCTTGAAAAAGCCTCCTTTTGTGTGAAGCTGCATAATCTAGGAAGCTAGAGACTAGTTGGGAGGTTATTTTGTAAGCGAGGAATGCCCCCGGAAAAATATATGTATTAAAAGAAGAGCTTATGTAGAATGGATTCACTTATCACCAAAGACCAAAATTGATGAGCATAACTTTTCCATTGCAACAACTTGAATTTGCAATTCAAAATTTGTATTATGCAAACATTAGCTAATATTCTCTTAAAAATTGTTTCTATGAACGTTCTTGCCGGTAAACTTGTTCCTTACAATATATGTATATATGTAAACCAAACACAATAGAAGAGCTAACACAGTTCAAATGAATCTATATAAAAATTCAAATGAATAGTCACACAGTATTTTTGCTGTATTTGCCAATTTTAATGGCCAGTTTCACATTGTCTGAAAAGAAGTTCTTGAGTTGGCATACAGACATGAAAAATGAAGAATTATTTTTCAGTTTTCATGTAGAATACTTCATTGTGGTAGATTCACACATTTTCCAGCAGCAGTTAAATTCACAATGCATTTGGCAGGCAGCAATGAAAATACATTCAAATTTAACATTCTTTTCTTAGCGTCACAAAACTAAACATTTTAGAGTACATAAACAGTTTGTAAGTGATTTGCAACTCTTGAGTTTTTGCTATATTTAAAAAAACAGAAATACTCACCAGAAGTATTCTTGCCAATGTGTGTTAGAAAAAAACATTCATCCTGAAGTAGTTACATTAGAAGTCCCTCTATCTGGTATCTTCCTCTGGTACTTATTGAATTATCTTCTGTCACTGAAGCTACAACAGCTATGTTCAGGTATCAGATACTATTGGATCACTTCTTTGACCCACTTAGTCATGTCTGTGATTTTTTTAATGACAAATATCTGCACTATACTGACTGTTCCACTTATACTTAAATAAAGCAGCACATGATGGATTCAAAACAACCCTTCTGCTTTGTTTCAGCTAATCAGGTCCATCTTCATGCTGTTGTCAATTCATTTATTCTCAATCAGCATGACAGTATAGAGTTCAATGAGTTAAAGGCAAAAGTAGGTTAAAAAAGTATTCTAGCATATTAAACTTTCTAGAGGATTAACAAGCAAACTTTTAAGGCTAGATCTTCAGCAGCTGTAAACAGGCATAACTTGATTGAAATTTACGTGACTGCACTGATTTACACCATCTAAGGATCTGGCTTTTAAGGTAATTGATAAACAAAATGTCCTTACAAAAAATAAACCAGTATCATTCATGGACCAGCTCCAACTGCGTTGTTAGAATGTTTTCCCTCACTTGGATCGTGTGAGATCTGGAGAAACCTGTTCTGCTAAGACAGGATGGATCCAAGTACTTTTTAATAAGCATGAAATCTCGCTTCAATTCTAGTGGGATTTACATGTTAACCTCTGGGGGAAAGGCTTTACTCATTGCTTATATTTTAATTTGGCAGGTGCTACAGATGTAGAACATGAAGAGAGAGACGATGAACCTGTCAAAAAGAAATCAGATGGGCCAGGTATGCAGGCGGAAGAAAGGCTGCACCAGTATTGCATTGTAATTGTGATTGCAGGGATAAATGGCATTGGTCAATGTGTGAGTCACCCAAGGGCAACATACAAGCAACGTGATTCTCTCCAGCTTTCGTCTCTTTAGTCAGAATCACAACCGACTCTAGTCTAACCAAATACAGACATTTCATTCATGGAATCACAGAGGAAGAGATAATGACTACTAAATCATCCAGTCCACTTCCCTGACAGTACAGAAGTGTTCTTACTTTCAGGTGTTTTATCCAGTAGTTTTAAAAATCCCAAGCAAAAGGTCTTTCACAATAGAAGCAAATACTCTCAAGCTCTTCCGCAACCTATGTACACAAACAGACATCAACATTTGCATAGTCTTCTGGCCGGTGGATGTATCTGTATTATACATTTGTGTACTGTTTTACGCCTGGCTTAGGATCCAGTCCTGCTTCCGTTCAAGTCAATGCCAAAACTTCTGTTGACTTTTATTGTGCAGGATCTGACATTCAAATTTTAAGGCCAGTAGAGCCAGGACCTTATATTTATATTATTTGTGCACTGCTGAGCACCCTGTTCTGGCTCAGTTAGAGACCAATACTGCAAAATGTTGAATGTCTCCTGCAGGGTAATAAATGCCCTTAAATCCCATTGATTCTAATTCCCAATGGAACTTGAGAGTGCTCAGCACCTCGCAAGAGGCAGTCAACAACTTGGCCAATAACGATAAGCTGGTAAGGGGTTTCTCTGGCTTAGGAAATTAGTACAGCTATGCCACATCCTAAAACTAACAATGTGGGTCAGATCCTCAGGACTGGCTCCTTGACTTCAGGTGGTGTGAATAGAAGAAGGTGACTTCCCCTTCATTCTAGCCTTAGAATCATAGAATCATAGAATATCAGGGTTGGAAGGGACCTCAGGAGGTCATCTAGTCCAACCCCCTGCTCAAAGCAGGACCAATCCCCAATTAAATCATCCCAGCCAGGGCTTTGTCAAGCCTGACCTTAAAAACTTCTAAGGAAGGAGATTCTACCACCTCCCTAGGTAACGCATTCCAGTGTTTCACCACCCTCCTAGTGAAAATGTTTTTCCTAATATCCAACCTAAACCTCCCCCACTGCAACTTGAGACCATTACTCCTTGTCCTTCCTCTTCTACCACTGAGAATAGTCTCTGGAACCACCTCTCAGGTAGTTGAAAGCAGCTATCAAATCCCCCCTCATTCTTCTCTTCTGCAGACTAAACAATCCCAGTTCCCTCAGCCTCTCCTCATAAGTCATGTGTTCCAGACCCCTAATCATTTTTGTTGCCCTTCGCTGGACTCTCTCCAATTTATCCACATCCTTCTTGTAGTGTGGGGCCCAAAACTGGACACAGTACTCCAGATGAGGCCTCACCAATGTCGAATAGAGGGGGACGATCACGTCCCTCGATCTGCTCGCTATGCCCCTACTTATACATCCCAAAATGCCATTGGCCTTCTTGGCAACAAGGACACACTGCTGACTCATATCCAGCTTCTCATCCACTGTCACCCCTAGGTCCTTTTCCGCAGAACTGCTGCCTAGCCATTCGGTCCCTAGTCTGTAGCTGTGCATTGGGTTCTTCTGTCCTAAGTGCAGGACCCTGCACTTATCCTTATTGAACCTCATCAGATTTCTTTTGGCCCAATCCTCCAATTTGTCCATAGGTCCCTCTGTATCCTATCCCTCCCCTCCAGCTTATCTACCACTCCTCCCAGTTTAGTATCATCCGCAAATTTGCTGAGAGTGCAATCCACACCATCCTCCAGATCATTTATGAAGATATTGAACAAAACTGGCCCCAGGACCGACCCCTGGGGCACTCCACTTGACACCGGCTGCCAACTAGACATGGAGCCATTGATCACTACCCGTTGAGCCCGACAATCTAGCCAACTTTCTACCCACCTTATAGTGCATTCCTCCAGCCCATACTTCTTTAACTTGCTGACAAGAATACTGTGGGAGACTGTGTCAAAAGCTTTGCTAAAGTCAAGAAACAATACATCCACTGCTTTCCCTTCATCCACAGAACCAGTAATCTCATCATAGAAGGCGATTAGATTAGTCAGGCATGACCTTCCCTTGGTGAATCCATGCTGACTGTTCCTGATCACTTTCCTCTCATGTAAGTGCTTCAGGATTGATTCTTTGAGGACCTGCTCCATGATTTTTCCGGGGACTGAGGTGAGGCTGACTGGCCTGTAGTTCCCAGGATCCTCCTTCTTCCCTTTTTTAAAGATTGGCACTACATTAGCCTTTTTCCAGTCATCCGGGACTTCCCCCGTTCACCATGAGTTTTCAGAGATAATGGCCAATGGCTCTACAATCACAGCCACCAATTCCTTTAGCACTCTCGGATGCAACTCATCCGGCCCCATGGACTTGTGCACGTCCAGCTTTTCTAAATAGACCCTAACCACCTCTTTCTCCACAGAGGGCTGGCCATCTATTCCCCATGTTGTGATGCCCAGCGCAGCAGTCTGGGACTTGACTAATTCTCACCTGCTGCAGTGTGACCTTCTCTTCTAGAGCTATTTATCTCCTGTATTTATAATGGAAAGGGCACTCTACTCTCCGGCAAAACTTGTGCCGCAGAGTGAACCACAAGGTAGCAAAGATCAGAAGCATGAGATACCTTGTCCCTTTCCCACAAGATGAGCACTTCTCAAAAGAAGAAAAGGTTCTTACTTTCTTCCAGCTTTTACTATCTCATGGCGTAGCTTGGTCCACTAACATACTGAGATGAATTTCAATGAATGTGGATGGTCTGATGAGGGTTGAGGAAAGGGAAATATTATGCTAATTGGATTATCATTGGGTTTGATTGGAGCAAGCATGTAGCATCTTTCATATTTGCTTTTAACTGTTTCACACATCCCCTAGATAAAATTCATTGAAGAAAGTGTTACCAAAACTGGAAGGAAAAATTATTAGAAAGGGTTATTCTAGTTAACAGCTTTGAACCAAATTGCTAGGCACCTGCTTCTCCCATTGAAGTCAATGGGGGCAGCAGGTGTTCATTCTCTCTCGGTATTTGACCCTTTAAGTATTACAGTCTCTCAAGAAAATAAATATCTTTCCCTTTCTGAAGATGTTTACATGTGATTGATCCCCAAAAGATTGTTTTTAAAAAGTGACAGAGAACAGAACAGCCACAAACCCATTAAAAATGTATACTAAATTGCCTCCAACCCTGAAAGAAAAATGACCTTCTAGATTAAATTGGAAGTCATTGGCAAAGCATCTCAGTGAGACTATAGGATACCTATAATAGCTGAATAGTAAAATAGACTTCTTGTTTGTAAGTGAACAGAGACTGCCACACAATTAATCTCAACTGTGCAAATGGTACCCCAACAATTGTGAGGGCATGTTTCAACACATTTTATACTGTCTGCATACATGCTCTGTGTGTATGTGAGAGATAGAGAATCACATTTTCTTTTAAATTGTGCATGAGTACATGTGAAGTCATAGGCGCCATCTTTATGAGTTGCCGGGGGGGTGCTCGACCCCCGCTCCACCCCAGGCCCTGCCATCCACTCTACCCCTTCCCCCAAACCTCCACCCCAACCCCGCCTCTTCCCACCCCTGCCCTGCCAAGTTCCACACCCTGAGCACACCCCACCCTTGCTCCTCCCTCCAAGCACTCCTGCATGCTGCTCAACAGCTGATCTCTGGTGAGCGGGAGGTCTGGGGGGAAGGGGGAGGAGCTGACTGGGGGGACTGCCAGTGGGTGCTGAGCACCCACTATTTTTTTTTCCAACCCTGGAGCACCCACAGAGTCGGTGTCTATATCTCAAGTTTAGGCAAATGGCAGTGCTCATCAGAAACAAAAATTAAACTTTACCTTTAACTTATAGTGACAAGATTTTGGTTAGCCCAGAGATGAGTACCTCAAAGTATGTAGGAATAATGCTTCGGTAAGTAAATAATAAAATCCCTCCAAACCCATATATTACAGAAAAGCACTGGAAGTGAAAACAGCAATTGGATAATGATAATGCAAAAAAAGTGAGGAGATGGAGGGAGGGTCAATGGAATCATTTGGCAGTGGGGTGGCTCCCTGAATTAGAAATTTCATCTGTTTTTAACATTTCTAGATATCTACTGCATATTACTTTGTTAGTGTACAACTTTTGCATGCCTTTCAAAACACAAACTACTCACACCCCAAAGTGCTGAGCAACATAGTCTGGTGACATTGGGTACTGACACTGTTAAAAAGCTTCTCAACAGCAGAGCTATAATGCTGACATAGGTCTGTTCCGTAACACATACTGTAAACTTCTAGCTGCATATTGCAGATTCTTCCACTTGGTCAGCATTAGATACATATATCTGGTTCTTTCAGATTTGGAAACCACAGCATAGGGCTAGATTTTGCTTTGGAAAGAGCAGCACATAAAGCACTGTCAAACTATGAGCAGGAGGGATGGAGATGGGTTGCAAATAGTGGCATAAACCCCTATTTATGGGGTATTCTATAAACCCCTAAATACCCAAAGGAGCACCTACCCATATGAGAAGTACCACTGATAGTGCCAACAGATCCTATTCAAGTCAGAAAGTACTCCTCAATCCAAGTTTGCTGAATTGAAACCATAAAAAGAAATCCAACTAAAACTACTGTTTTGTGTTTAGACGCAGTAGTTGTTAACCACCAGTCCTTGCAATGTCTTATTGTGGAAGAGGAATATATATGTAAGATCTCAGCTCGTGAAGCGACTTGAGAGTAGAAGTCAACTGATTACACGTTGCAAGAATATATGAGAAAGAGAGGGCTCATAAGATGAGGCAGTGTAGCCCAGATACAAGAGTAATAACTGTAGGCAGGTCAAAGATACCAGCTCAGGCTAACAAGGTCAAGGCATGAATGGAGAACTGGCTAGGAGAAATTCCGCTGGACAGAAGAAAATGCATGTGCCGGATGGATGAATAAAGTGCCCAGTTCTACAAGGTGCTGAGTGCCCACAACTTCCATTAAGCTGATGGAACTGAGGGTGTCTGCACCTCTCAGGAGATGCTTAGCCCTGAGGGCTTTACCCTGCAAAACCCTTCCACAGTTGAGGAGCTCCTCTGAAGCTGGTGACAATTACTTATGTGACTATCAGGATCAATCTTTTAGAGGGGAAAAAGGCATTCCAAGATTACAAACACTAGTCAGACAGACAGACCATGTCTACACAGGAACACTCAGGAAACTTCAGGCAAATTGACTAAAGGTGTGAAGTCAAAGTTAAACCCCCAGGACTAAGTTACAGCAAATTAAGGCCATTTTACTCCTGAATGAGAGCAGCCACGTTGGGGAGGTAGGTGGGGGTATTAATATGTATTAACTTATGCACATTGACTTCACACCTTTAGTTGATTCACTTTAAGTTTCCTGCGTGTTCACATTTAGTCATGGCCATAGAAAGGTAGGAAAATAGCCCCAACAAACCACATGGCTTTCAGGCATTTCCAAACATTCCTGCTTCTGATATAGAAAGGTCTTGCAGCCTGGATTATTATATTCAATAAAGTAAAAATTGAACAAGCTGTTGTGAAATGTCAGAACAGGATCATAATGTGAATAAAATAAGCTTATGTTCATTAACTCTGTCACTTTTCTCCCCTCTCAGATAATATCATCAAAAGAATATTTAATATTTTGAAGTTCACCTGGGTCCTTTTCCTGGCAACGCTAGATAGTTTTACAGCTTGGCTCAATTCCATTTCAAGAGAGCACATTGATATCTCTACTGTACTGAGAATTGAGAGATGTATGCTGACCAGGGAAATTAAAAAGGTAACATACGTTGTGCTTTACTTTTGCTCGTACCATTTGCATTGCAGTGATAAATGAGAGGTTTATTGTTTCAACTTAATTTGAGGCAGTGTACTAGAGATGGATATTTGTAAAAGTCTCACTTACACAGATTTTAGAAATAGTATGAATTCTGTAATCCTCGTTGTGTTCTATTTCAAAAAAACAAAAACAGATAAATCTTGAGAACTGTGACTTTGAGAATATGTGCTGGAACTAAGGGTGCAGCAGCATCCCTTCCCTTGAAGTGGTTTCCATCATATACGTTGTTTACAGTGTGATTCAATGGGTCTCAGCAGCCCCACTATAAAAATAGTTTCAGCACTCTGTCTCTGAGCCCAAAGCGGCTGATTGGAAAAACAAATGTTCTCGGGGATTTAATTCTGAAACTCCCATTGAAGAGAGGGATTTATAGTAGACATTCAGAAATCACATCAGGAGAGAGTAAGGCACAACATAAATGCTCAAGAATTCGACTCAGTCTGGATCTGCTCAGAGTCCTAGAAATGCAGTTCACACTGGGCATGTGTGGCTTATCATATAAATTAATATAGTCACTCCTGTATATACATTTAAAACATAGAGTGCTTTTGCTTTCACAGTCATTCTTCTTCATTATGGTCCTACAAAAAAAGCTATAATGCTGTATGTGTGCCTTTATAAATATTTAAAAGGCAAAGGGTTATAATGTCACAGACACTTGATTATAATTTCACTGCAGAAGCAGTGGGTAAATAGTATTAAAAAAAAAATTCCCCAAAACTTTTGGTTAAAATGTCAAATTTTGTCAAAATTTCAAATTTTGTCAAAATTTCAAATTAGAAAGTTTTGAATCAAATTTAATTTAGAGGGAGAGAACTGAAATTTGAAGAAGTAACAATACTAACAAAGGGACAGACCAACATATTTTCATGTAGTTTATAATTGATCGCTTTACTGACCTAAGGAAATCTGTGCATGAAGTCTCAATAAAACTCAGAAAAATGACTTTGCAAAATAACAAACTTCTTACTCAATGCGTGCTCCAAAGTCAATACAGCTATTGGTGGAGTGAGTTGGATACTGTCTGGCCTTAGGAAACATCAATAAAGTTGCGATAGACAGAAAGAACTCTGCTTGGCTCCTGTGCACCGGGTTGTGCTTACAGTGAATGAAACCATCCTTTTGTTGACAAATTGGACCAGGAAGTCATTGAGCGAATAGATAGTGAAGCCTCTTTCTACATGGACAGTTTTATGAACAAATTTTTATCTCAATTACACCTTTGTAAATCTGGAGAAACTCCAATGGAGTTACCCCATAATTATGCCTTTGTAAGTGAGATCATAATCTGACTTTGTCTGAAATGGGCTTGAGGAAATTTGGGCTTTTGCCAGTTTGTTCTTTGCAAAGACTCATTTCATGCAGCCAAATGACTGAAGAAACCAAAATCTCACACAACACAAATGCCTTACTATAGCTCTTCTCTCTTTCTCAGGGGAATGTTCCAACTCGTGAGAGCATCCATATGTATTACCAGAACCATATGATGAAGCTTTCCAAGGAATCAGGACTGGACATAATTGATGAAAATCCTGGTCAAGATTCTAGTTTACAGGCATCTGAGAGGATGGATAGTTTAGATTCAGCTGCTTCTCATGACAGTATTTCCAGGTATTTTATTGTAAAAACAAAACGCTTGTTTTTTGTATAGATAGAAAAATCATGTGATAGAAATTATTTTAAGAAATTATTTCATAATGTTGGACTTCACATCTGAAGCTGAAGAACCCTTTGATTTATCAGATTTATCAGTCACTGTACAGTAGATAAAAGATGATCAAATTGACAGACCAACGTGTTTCCCTCTGTGCAAAAGTGCACAAAGGGAGCGAATTAATTCTTATTCTCCCAACTCAGCCACCAACCTCCCACCCCCACCCACCACTAGTCCACCAGACCTGGTTGGAGCGCAAAGTAGGCAGGGAGCATGGAGCAGAGCCCCAAAAGGAAGACAAAGCCAGGAATCTGAAGGGATCCTGGTCCCTAACCTCATGGTTACTGGGCAGCTGCATGGATGATTCCTGTCTACACTCTACAGTAGGAGCAATTGCCATGCTGTCATTGGCTCAGTGCTCTCAATTATGGTCTGTGACTCTGCAGAGGGGAGTGAGTCACTGAACGCCACTCATGTTAATGCTTCCTCAAGCACCGTTATCTCTCCATTTGTCTGCAGTTTTGAAGGGGGTCGGGGCATACTCCTTAGTACAGCTCCCTCTTACCCTTGACCTCAGTCCTTTTCCTGAGGGGCTGCATGGATATTTTACCAAGGCGACACGGTCACCAAGCTCTGGGAGGAACATCTGGCTGAACTAATTTTCCTCTGCATGTCAATACCAAATGACAAGCTTCTAGAGGGTTTTTGAACTATCTTTTAGAGATTAATACACTGAAGACAGTCTCATGATATTTCACTTTGATTGTGAGAATAGGTGCTGAATGAAGGAATTCCATCCTTATTACAAATGTTTTGTTCTGGACAGTTAAATTCTGGTCTCCTGCACATAGCCTGAGTAAAAGGACTTTGTACTGGGAAACTACATGGGTTTGAGGGAATATAATTTTCCCTCACAAGACAAAGGCAGGGCACAGAGGCCTGGAAGTGCCTCCCTGCTGCTTTTTTCCATTCGTCTTGGAATGGTCCACTAGATAAGTGCAGTTTATGGGCTCATGTCTGTGCCCCCACCATTTACCTGACCAACCCCTACTCCTGAGGGAATTTTGCACCCAAAAATGTAAAATTCTGCACCAAAAAATTAAAAAATATGTGCACAATATTTTAAAATTCTGCAAAATTCTGCAAATGTTATTTGTCAATAATTAAATGTGGCTCCAGCATGGCAGTGAGGATCACAGGCCACTGGCTGCATTGAGGTGGAAGATCACACTGAAGCCCACACCTCCCCTGGTACAGGGACTTGGCAGTGAGGCTGCACCTGACCCTGACACAGTGCAAGGGCTGAGTCTGCCTCAGGAACACCCTGGGGCTCTGCCCCTCTGCGTCAGGTGCACCAGGTGTGGGTGGGCAGGTACATCCCAGTAGGATCCAAGTGTGGAGGGACTTGGTGTGGGGTGAGAGATTTCTGTGTGAGGCGGTCTGGGTGCGAGCAGCTCAGTGGGAGATCTGGATGCACTGGGGCTTGTTGTGGGATTCCGGGTGCAGGGGCAATGGGATTCTGCAGGGTGAAGGTGGTTGGGGCTCAGCAGGGGGTCTGGGTGTGGTGAAATGGGGCTCATCGGTGGGCTCTGGGTGGGGGGACACAGTGGGAGGGCTCTGGGTGCTGGGGGAGTGGGGCTTCATGGGGCGGAGGTCCAGGTGCAGCTGGTTGGGGATCAGTGGGGTGGGGGTCTGGGTGTGGGGGGCTCATCACAGGGATCCAGGTGTATGGGCGGTAGGGCTTGTCAGGGTGAGAGTTCAATGGGCTTGCTTAATGGGGGAGCCCTAGCTGCTGCTGAGGGATGCCTGCTTCTCCCCATGATTCCCCTATTCCCTTTTGTTCTTCACCTCATCCACCTCCCTGACTTCTCCATTCCCCATCCCCCTCCCCACACTCCCACATTCCCTCTCCCAGCCCCATTCCACCCTTCTTCTTTCCCCACCCGCTCATCCCCCCTTCCCTCATTTCCCCCACCTCCCATTATGCAGCCCCACCGCAGGCACTCACTGTTGCACAAAAAACAGGAAGGCTCCCAGAACACACAGGAGGAGTACAACTGGCACTTGGATCCAGGAGGTGGTGTTCAGCTGCAGAGTCAGCAGAGCCCAGATTCAGCCTCCTTCAGCTGGGAAGCTCTGCGCTTGCAGAAATGGGCAGGGGGTGGGGGCAGTGGCACGTAACCCCATGTGCTCTCCCATGCCTCACCTCTGTTTGGAGGGGGAAATCCCCACCCCCCAAAAAACTGCGCCAATGGTTGCCTCTTCCCCCCACCCCCCTTGGCTTCCCATTGCTTCCCTGCCATTTTCCACAGGGAAGCACAGGGATTCTGCTGGCGAGGTGGCGGGTGGGGGGGTGGCATTTTCTGTGGGCACACAGTAATGCAGAATCCCCGCAGGAGTAAATCCACCTTCCTTTTCCACACTTCCCTGGAGAGAGATGCTGCAGAGTTCAGTGCCAAAGGCTTAGCACATCCTTGCTGTTTCGCACATGCACAGACTCTCACTCATCCACTTCCACGTGTTACAAGAACATCCTTTGTTTTCTCTGTGTCCAATGCGTTTTTGACCTTTGAGAGCCTGCAGAAGCTATTCTACAGTGTCAGGGAGACCTCTGATAATCTGATAGTTGCTTTCTGCAGTTTCTTCTTCTCTGAAGCGTGGCAGTACCCGCTCACACTTGATACTCCCCTGCAAACTCAGTTGCTTGTATGTACAGTAACTCTGCTCAGCTTTTACTAATGACATATGGTAAGAGGTTAACAGGCTAAAAATAGTAGAGGGCTTGTCTTCCTTTCAGAGTTTATTCAAAAGTAAATGTAACTGAGTCTCTGAACACCTATCTGAAATAAAAATGTGTAAGCAATGTGCGTAAACAAAATACCCACAAAATTACCCAGCATTTCCACAGGCTGTAAAAAAAACCCCAGGGTCAATGCTGGCACTCATAAGACATTCAATAATTTACTGAAGTTTAACTGTCAAAATTCTTTATTTCATGCAGTAATAAAGCTAGCACACATTTCCTCATGGCTAACTACCAGGAGAAATAGCACCTGCATGAGTTGTCTGAAAATTCACTGGAGTCAGATTGTATAGGAAAAATGTCATTCAGCCAAATTCTGCTCTCACCTGAATGCAAGACCCATTGACTTTACTTTGAGTCTCACATGGCTATCTGAGAGGTAGAATTTGGCTCTTGGGATTCATCTGATCATTTAAAGAGACAGTACTTATAGGTACAAAACCATTTTCATTAAATAATATTTCAGTCACATTACCCAATATATACTGTACTGGTGTACAGTAGAAATTGAAATCAGCTGTTTAGCAGTGTGTAGTAGCAATATGGCAGTGTTAGCTGGTGTGCTGACAACAATGAAAGCCATATGTTGGGGAGGGTAATTTTGTTTTATAAAAGGAAGTCAGTTGCCAAACATAATTACAAAAAAATTATGTAATTCTTGTAAATTCAATATTTGAATTCAGTCTCTGTAGTAAAATTGTATCCACCGTTGAAATTCAATCAATTCTTGTTGGAATAACCTCTTTGCCTCCCTCTTCCCCTCCACCCACCCCCTGCTTTTGAGTGACACCTCACTTGCTTCTTTCAAACCTTTAGACTTTGATGGTGATGCTGAACCAAAACTGGACAAGAGGATAAATAACAATGCCTATTTTGACAGTTGTTGTATACCCACTAATATAATCTTTGAAAAAAACTTTGTTTCCCCAAAATAAGATGTCACCAGGGCACATTAATAAATGAACAACAGAAGTATTGTCACAATTGATTTTCTAATCTCAAACTCTTTTCCTGGAAATAGATATTTACGTGTTTGTGTATCAGTAGTGTTTGTGGAGTATGTGCATCTGCTGCATCACTAATGACCTCTAAATGGAGGAAGCAATAACCAGTCACTTAGATCTAATGATAGATCTTCTGTCTGTTTATAAAAGCATCCTTGCCTGTCTCTTTCTGGGATTATGAAGAGGTCTCATGAGCTGTTTTAGCAATACAAAGTGAGTGACATTTTGCATTGCCCAAACAACAGTGAGAGAACTTTATCATCTCAAAAACCTCACCCAAAAGCTCATCAATTTTGCACCAGTTCCTTTGCTAATTTTTTTCCTTTGCTAAATATAGAGCTTGCCCTGTCAACAACAAGATTACTTTTTAAAATGTGCCAATGTTTCTTAATTGTAAGGCCCGTTCTGTTCCAGTTGAAGTTAATGGCAAAACACGAATTGACATCATCGAGTCAATTTGGGCTTTATACTTAACATGCTCTCATACACAGTTCTATTATTTTTATGAAATCCACTGTTATACTCATATTATTTCCCTATTAGCCTATAAATTGTCTTTCCTACTGGTACTTTTCACTTCCGGGGAATGTGATTCAAATAATAATTTTTTAACCATTATATACCAATTCATTTCCAAGCCTCAGAGTGACTGAGATTAATCCCTGTTTCATCACTTGAAGATTAAGCAGTATCTGGATGCTCTGAGGGACAGTTTCCTCTATAATTAAGTTGTTGTTTTGGTCTTTAGTTTGTCCCAGCACAAAGTTTTCATTCTAGGTAGTCAGTGAACCACGTTTATGGATTTTATTTAGCATATACGTGGTTGGTCTCATAAGATGGGAAAAAAACTGGATGCTTATTTCTGAATTAAAATAATTAAATCTTAACTCAGTTTATACTCAAGCAAATGTCCATGAATTCTGTAGGACTCTGCTTGACTATTTTCTGAAAAAGCAAACTAGGCAGTTATACTTTAAAATATCACACACCATATGGCTTCTATAAAGGTCCTGTCAGTAAAATTATCATATTCATTTTTTAAGGGGAAAATTCTTCTCTCTAATCAACAGTGGATCTGTCCCTTGTGGATCCCTATTGTATATTTGATGCTTTAGGCACTTTTGATGGCACTGGATGTCCTAAATGCAAA